CACAGTACTGGGCACTGGACTCGAAGTTAACCTCGCCCCGCCTTGCGAGCCAGGACTGCCACCACCCCGGTGGATCATAAGCTCCAAGGCAGAAACTTTGATTTGCCCTCTGGACATCCCCAGGGCCTAGGACAGCGCCCCATCAGCGGACTTGCCTGTGTCCAGGGGTTAAGACTCCCAGCTTTCCCCGTATCCAGTGCCCAGCACAGTACTGGGCACTGGACTGGAAGTTAACCTCGCCCCGCCTTGCGAGCCAGGACTGCCACCACCCCAGTGGATCATANCCTGTCGGCGGCGTGAGTGTCCAGGCCGGCGCCGTGGCTCAAAGGGAGTGTTTCTTACTGTGAGCAAAGTGGAGACAATCATTCTGTGGAAGGAACTACCGACAAGTGAAGCAGAGAAGCCCCGAGGCGCGTGCCGATAGGAAATGGGACCAAGAGGAGGCTGGAGGGCAGGGAGCAGCCCCGCCTTCCCGGGGGTCGCTGCCCCCGCAGCCCCGAGAGGCGGCCCCAGCTCCTCCTGCGTGTTTTCCGTGCCGGGCTCTGCTTGAGCCTGTCAGTCCGTCTGGACGCCTCTGATGAAGGGGACAGAAAGGTGGGTGTACACACGAGGAGACGGGAGGGAGCAAGACCCTCCGTGGATACCTGTCCTTCACACTGAAGAGCAAGGAAGAGGTGAACCCTGACAGGGGTGGAAGACCAGCCAGGTCATGAGCTCTCCTTTGCTTCCTTTTTTAAAAATTACAGCAAAAAAATATGTAAAGTTTTACTATTCTAACCATTTTTTAAAGTGTACAGTTCGGTGGCACATTGATACACCCATCACCATTACCTAGTTCCAGGGCTTTATCCTGACCCCAAAAGGAAACTGCCTACACGCTAAGCAGTGGCTCCCCATTTCCTCAGCCCCCAAATCTCAGCTTTCCATTTCTATGGATTGACCAAGTCTATACATTTCATATAAATGGAAATCACATACTCTGTGGTCTTTTGTGTCTGGCTTCTTCTTTTCTTGGTTTTTTTCAAATTTCATCCATATTGTAGTGTGGATCATTACTTCTATGGCTGAACAATATTGCATTGTGTAGCTAATCCCACTTTTGTTTATCCATTCATCTATTGATGGCCATTTGGGCTATTTCTACCTTGTAGCTGTTGTGAATTGTGTTGCTTGAATATCTATTTTCAATTCTTTGGAGTAGGAGTAGAGTCGCTGGGTCATATGGAAGTTTGATATTTATTGAGGAACCACTTCCCCTTCTTTTTATAGATTTTCACAGACTCAGGAGGCTGGAAAGGACTCAGAAGTGATCTAGAACAATGTTTCTCAGATTTTGGATTTCACACACCTTAAAACTAGAACTACCATTACCACCACCCCCACCCTTCAAAGTAATACAGGCTTATGTCAGGAATAAGGCCAACCTCATAAAATGAGAATATTTCAAGTCAGGTAAACTCTTTGCCTTATACTTTTTTTCCCTATTACCTCCACCATTGGGTCATTTGGCAGACACTTGCCTGGTCCAATCTGCATCCAGTCTGAGTTTCCCTCTCCAGCTGCCCTGGGCTTGAGCAGCCTCTGGGGGCCCATCTGGGGGATGCTCTCCCTTCTAGGTAGCTGTAGCTCTGGTCCCTGGAATGTTCTTTCTCATGGACAGTTGGTCCTACTCCCAAGGTCTCCCCAGTTTTTGCTCCCCACTCTTGGACTGCAAGGAGATCCAATCAGTCCATCCTAAAGGAGATCAGTCCTGGGTGTTCATTGGAAGGACTGATGTTGAAGCTGAAACTCTAATACTTTGGCCATCTGATGCGAAGAGCTGACTCATCTGAAAAGACCCTGATGCTGGGAAAGATTGAGGGCAGGAGGAGAAGGGGATAACAGAGGATGAGGTGGTTGGATGGCATCACCGATTCAATGGACATGGGTTTGGGTGGACTCCGGGAGTTGGTGATGGACAGGGAGGCCTGGTGTGCTGTGGTCCATAGGGTCGCAAAGAGTCAGACACGACTGAGAGACTGAACAGAACTGAACTGGGGGTCTCAGACATTGGCCTCATTTCACTTGTTTTGGGACTGGGACCTATGCGACTTTCTGTTTCCCAAATGCTCTATATGGCTGAACACAGCCAGCATGAGACACTGACAGCAGAAAAGGTGGAGATGAGGGAATCCCCCAATTTGTAAAGATTCTTAGCAGAAACAAAGAGAATCTCCAAGCTGTATGGGTGTGTGTGTGTGTGTATAGTATTATAGTATTTCATAAACACCTGTCCTCCCACACACACACACAAAGTTGTGAACAAGCTATAAAGACTAACAAAGCTTTGTTTTGTGGTTGGCTTGGCTTATCCCAGTTCAACATTTCTGTGTGGCAATTCAGCAAGATAGCATGGAGAGAATTCAGAGCTGAGGCCTGCACTCAAATCAATCTTCCCCCATTACAGGGTGACCCTGGTGAGGTTAATATGTGTGCCACACTCACCAAATTGGTGGAAAAGGGATTTTAAGGCAGACTCATGAGATTATCATGAAGGTGAGGCTACAGAAGTGCCCAGCACACCATAGGCACTTGCTCCATAACAATTCTCACTGGAAGAAATCTGAGCAGCATTTTATACCTTCTATGAGCAAAATCAAAGTGAGAAGACATTATTTAACATACATTCGGCAAACAAAAATCCTTCAAAGAATCAAGTCCCTGTATGGAAAAACAATGATAGAAAGAAGTGTTTGACGGTGAGGAACATGGGGACGCACAGCAGGGCCGAAACAAAACAGCACTTGGGTCTCTTATCATAGGATCCAGTGGCTGTGCTGAGGTCAAGCCCTGTCCCAGACACCTGGACAGTGGGAACAAGGCCTCCCAAAAGAGGAAGGCCATGCCCTGTGTCTGCGAGCCCCCGGGAGGCAGTTCCAATGGGAACTGGGAGGGACCTTACACAGAAGGGAGTTGGCTCAACCCACTGGGCAGGAAGGACCCTGAGGAGGGGCCCTGGGTGGTCCCTGCCTTAGGAAGGAAGCTGAGAAGCGGACTCACCACCCACCTCCCCTAGGGAGGAGATTCAGTCCCTGGCTGGTCCTGCAGAATTTGGTATCAACTTCAAAAGGGAAAGAATCAGGTCTCTTTATATGCTGACTAGGATCTGTCGGTTGAGATATGATTATTTTGCTGAAAAAAGTACAGGTGGTGTTTTACAACACCTTCAGTATGGGCTGCAGAATCTTCCTAGGAAGGGTCCCAAGCCCTCAAGAAGTGCTTTCTTGGAAGGTCAGTGTAGATGTCCACAACTGTCTAGCCCAGGCCTGGCCTGCTCGGCAGTGTCCATAGGCAGCTCTGAGGCAAGGACAAACTGGAGGAGTTTCCTGCTTCCCTTTTGCCCTGGATCAGCTCCTGTGATCAGGCTGGAAGGCCCTCCTGCTGCCTTCTGCCCACCTTGGTGAGAATCCCAGGGACATAAACACCAGTCAGTCACAGCTGGAGGGCGGGATCCGCCACCAGTCCTCACTGCCTCAAGGCTCCAAGGCAGCAGAACCGCCCAGGCGGCAGCTATCTCCGGCTGGAGGCTGCTGCTTCTGGCCTCGCCCACCTGGCCCGAGGGCATCACGGCAAGCAGGAGCAGGCAGAGGGAGAAACAGGCAGAGAGAAGATTTCAAGTCGGCAACCACCGTGGAGAGTTCTCACATCTGCCGAGCCCCATATAGTGTGAAGACGGTCTTCCCCTTCATCTGACCCTCAGAACACTGCCCCCCTGGGAACCAAAAGGGAAACCGAGACTCGACTCGAGGAGGGGAAGAAACACAGCACCCATTAAGACGCGGCTGAGCCAGAACCCAGTGCTAGGTCTGGCTATAGATTCAGTGCTATGCGTTTCAAAGAAAAGAACCAAAAATTGGAGTAACAGATATCTAACATGCCCCCAATGTTTAACCCACAAATGTCATACACTGCCTGCCTTCACACACACTGTCCCAACTGGGAAGCACTCTGTCTTCCCCATGTACCAGCTGTGCTGACTCCCCCTTTTGGACCCAGTCTTTCCAACAGGGCGCATCCAAGCCAGCCTGGGCTGTCACCCACGATGCCCTCAGTCGAGCTCACACCTTTACTGTTCCTCACGGGCACTTACGTGCTTGCCTCCTCTAAGATGCTGTGGATTCTCTGAGAGCAGAGGGGAGTGTTTTTCATCTCCGAATCCAAAGAACAAGCAGAGGACGCGCACAGGGTAAATGCTCAGTAAGTGTACGGTGAGTGAGAAAGCAAATGTCTTTTTGCAAAACTTGCGGCCTCCATGTAATAGTCTAGTGCTGAAGCAAGGAGGTGGGAGCCTTCTCCTGGCCACTGGGGACAGGGCTCAGACACGCAGCACTTGCCAGACAGGACACCGTACCAGCACTGGGAAATGCTGCTCTGACCCTGCAGGAGACACCCTGGATGCAGAGCCCTCTGAGCAGGATCCCGCTCAGATCCTCTCCATCAGAGGATGCCCTCACCATGATGTCCCACTGCCAAGCAGAGAGCTGCTGGGAAGAGGCAGTTTACCAAATACGCTGACCCAGCTAAAGACCTTGAGTGCCCCCTGGGCCCACCCCCAGCTGCTGTGAGGCCTCATGACTGCAGCTGCCCGGTCACAGCAGGGTTTCCCTGGCAGTGTCCAAGGAACCCGTCTTGGAAGAGTGCTACGAAGCAGCATTCTGTGATCAAACATGTGGGAAATGCTACCACTCACATCGACTCAATGGACATGAGTTTGAGCAAACTCCAGCAGATAGTGAAGGACAGGGAAGCCTGGTGTGCTGCAGCCTGGGTGGCAAAGAGCTGGACATGACTGAGCTACCGAACAACAATGATGGTGTGGCCCCCTTGAAGAGGTTCCCCCACGTGTGGAGTTTTAAGGATTCTGAGGTGTATAGAGCAAACATTACCTGACTGGGTTTTGGTATCTGCCAAACCTGTTAAACACAGAGCCTCGCTCCCACTGTCACATGTAAATTCCCTCCTCCTTTATTTTTCATAAAAACACCTGTTAACATTCTATGGAAGTAGGGTTTCAAGGAACATACTTTGGGCAATGCTGATGCTGACCACCTCATAGGGCCACCAGGAAGTGGGTGACCATGGTCCAGAAAGGGTGCCAAGGATTTCTCACCAACCAGCCCACAAACTTCCTGGGAGAAAAAGACTGATTCCAGTGAAAAAGACGAAGGAAGCAGCTGCTGTGAGCCTGTTTTCCCATCTGCCAAATGAGAATGAGCAGACTATCCGTCTGAGGTCACTAGACGAGATCTTGGAGGTGCGCAATTGTGGAAAGCTGACCCCCAGCACAGCTCCTGCATGTCACACAGATTCCATCAAACTTACCCAAGTGACAGCTGTGCAGATACAGGATGAAAAGGGCAGGAGAAGCGCAAAGAACGGACACCAAACTCACAGCACTTAACTCAGGGGTCCGTGTGAATTTCAGGGACAAACAACCCTACACATACTGATAGGTCCTGAAGATATGAATACATTAAAACCATACATTAAAAGAGTCTGTAAGAGTCGGCAAAAGCATGGGCTCAGAAGCCCACTAGACCCAGGTCTTAGCCAGCTCCGCTCCTTCCCAGCTGGGGAACTGGCCTGCAGCTCCGCTCTTCCGTGTCTGTGTCCCCAGCATGCAGGATGAGGTTAAACCATGGCGGCCCCCAGGCTGGGGGTGAGGACAGATGACGCTGGTGTCAGTGGCCATACAAAATAGGTGCTCAGTGAGTGTGTCTCCTTAGAGAAGGCTGGGATGCGAGGAACATGTGTCAAGGCGTCTGTCAGTGATGTCTAAAACAAAACCTCCTTCTCCAGTCATGTAGGAAGTTGGCTTCTACAGCGGGGAGGATGAGAGGACGAAGGAGGAATAGCACCTGCTGGATCCACCGATGGGAGGGGGAACATGAGGAGACTCCGGGAAGCACGGTCATGACTGCCTCTAGCAGCCGGCAGAGGGGGAAGGGGCGCTCACGGCCAGGAGAGGGGGAGATGAGAAGCTGTACCGCCTAAGGAGACCAGCATGCAGCCAAGTGGAGATCACAGCAAAGGTGACGACGCTGCAAAGGCTCCCATCTGCTGTGCATGTCCCACAGATCAGGCACTTGATGCATGCTGGCTCTAAGCACCAACAGAGAAGCCAAGTTACCCGACCCTGGCCACACAGCTGGCCAGCCGCAGGGCTGGACCAGAACCAGAGCCTGAGTCCAGAGCACATGCTCTCCCCTTGTCCGTGCTCCCCTCAGGAGAGGACCATCCATTCACATATTCTCTTCCTGTCCGGGTCCTCAAGGGTGGGGACTGGACCTGACTCATCTCTGCATCCCCAGCACATGGCAGAAATGCCGCAAGCGACGGTCAATGAATTACATGCTTGAAAACATTTCAGAAACCTGTTGGACCTAAAAGTCAAAGTCCCTTTCCCAGAATATGACACAGTATAACACTACACGAGCTGATTCCCTCCTGAGGAATGTGGCCTGAGGAAAAATTCCAAATTCGCCTAGAAAATGTGAGCACCTAAGTCCTTCTACAATGTCATATATAACAATTTTCTGCTCCCACTCAAAGTGGAAAAGCCCTACAGTGTTATGGGGTGAGCAGCATGGAATATCAGAGCACTGTCTTGCCTGACCACAGACAAGGAGACTGAAGGTCAGGAAGGAAAAGAGACTCCTCAAAGTGACACCTTGGGCCTCCCCCTTTTTCCTCTATAAAAGGCTGCCTCTGCAAGAAAGAAAAATGCATTCAGCATACACATCCTGAGCAGCTGCTGTGTTGCCTGCAGCAGGTGCAGAGACATGCTAAAGCAGAGGCAGCACACAGAACAGTGAGGGGCCCCGGCGGCTGGAGGAGTGAGATCTGTGTAACGCAGCTGGGAAAGGCTTCATTCAATCGGCAACATTAGGGACCATCAGGGATAAGTTAGAAGGCCTAAGGGAAGCTATGGAAGAGTGGCGAATCTTGCCCCAAATATGTGTTCCCCCATCAAAGTACAGAGTTCTGTACTGGGAGGCCACTACCTGGACATGACTACACTTCCCAGTCTCCTCTGCATCCAGGTGGGGCCACGTGACTATGAGTGGCCGAAGGGACATAAGACGGAGGAACCAATGGAATGTGAGCAGTTAACAGCAAGACAGCTAAGAAATGGTTATGCCTTCTTCACCATCCCTTTCCCCTCTGCCAGCCAGAAACAAAGACTCGGAAGCTCCCAGGAACGGCAGAGCCACAGATGAGAAGAGCAGGGTCCCTGAATCACCATGTGCTTCTGCCAAGCAGAAGCAGCCACACTGGACTTCATGGGAGAATAAGTCTCCACCGTGTCGGACTTTTGTTACAGCAACAAGCATCACCAACTGCTACAGCAGGCAGGGGAAAATGGGTGTTTCAGGCATGGGGACTAAGGCACAGTGGTGTGTCAAGGCATAGTGTGTTTCAGGGAATGGGGAAGGTCTGATGATGTCGGGAGCATCGGCCATGTGAAGAGGACACTGAGGTTCAGAAAGCTCACGCTGCTGACCACGAGGAAGAGGGTCACGTACAAGGATTGTTTCCAGGGGCCCTGGTGTTGCTGGCACTGCTCTCGAAGGAAGAGTGGAAACTGTGAATGGTTTCCTGTAAAATCTGTCTCTCGCGTCCCTGTGGAGGAAATTGAAAACAGACACAGAAACTCTTGTTAAATCTTTTAACCATTAATTCAGTTGACACAGTGCTGTTAACATTTAACTCATACTTGAAAAACCCATGGGCGTCTTGGGGAAAACAAATTACCTAATTGAAAGAGCACTGGGTTTAATAAAAACATTGAGTCAGCACCCACAAACACAGCATGCCAGGGCTGGAGAGCCCCCCAGGATGCAGAGGTCCAACCTCCCAGAGGAGGATGGGCAGCAGAACCCAGAGAGCAGACATGACTTATCCCGGGTCATTTGGCCCAGAATGGACACCTCCTACCCGGCCCTGCTCTGTGCATATTTCCAGCTGTCATATTTCCAGGGAATTTTCCAGGAGCCGAACTTTCTGATACAGACTCAGAGTCTGAACTGCCCTGACTCCCCCCTTGTCCAAAAGATGACAGGTCTGTCTCCATAGTGATTCACTTCTAACCCCATCCTTGCAGACTCCCCTCCTAGTTGCCACCCTTTACCCACACATTTTAAGATGGGAAAAGAGGGGGGATGTGGACATCTCTTTAAGTCCAAAGAACATCTTCACTGAATACGAAACTGAGAGGCAGTGATACAGAGTTAATAACAGAGACTGGAATCAAACAGCCTGGGTTCAAATCCTAACCCCTCCCATTTACAAGCTGGGTTACCTTGAGCTAGGTACTTCATCTCTCTGCGACTTAATTTCTATAAAATGAAGATGATAATTGTAACTCAAAGGGTGCTGCTGCCATTTGGCTGTGTGGGTGGGTAGCAGGAGGCTGGCATGTCCTGACCTCAGAGGGCAGTAGTGTAAATTACAAAAATCCTTTTAAACCCACAAATAAATGTGGTCACAGTCTAAAGTGAAACGGCCAGCCAGCGGGAGCTGGCTGTGTGACACAGGAGCCCAGCCCAGTGTTCTGTGATCTGGAGGGGTGGGATGGGGTGGGAGATGGGAGGGAGGTCCGAGACGGAGGGGACACGTGATGCCTGTGGCTGATTCATGATGATGTGTGGCAGAAGCCAGCACAATGTTGTAAAGCAAGTATCCTTCAATACATTTTTTAAAAAATAAAGCAAATTAAAAGTGAATAATCTCTGGACAACTATTCCCTGCCAAGAGTAGGGAGGAAAAAAAAAAAAAACCTCTACCAAACATGACTAGACTTTAACCTTCCTCTTCTTTCATTTCATGGACTGCCCTTTCCAGATCCCTAAGCAGGGACCTCTACTGCTGATAAGGCTCCTGGATACCCCGAAGGGCAGGAAGAGTCTCCCTTCACAGAATCCATCCCAGACACCTGGAAAAGTGCCTTCAGGACTCCATCAACACACACCTAAAGGCTATGGGGCAAAAGTCAGAACATCAGAGGTGGGGCCAGAGGACCCCGAATCCCTACTCCACCACTCACTCTGTGTCAGGCGTGACCCCATGCTGCTGAGTTTGTGTCTGTAACAGGGGGAAGGCATTGCATGCTGGTGCTGTGATGCGGCTCAACCTGAGATAATGAACAGGGGTGAAACTGTGCAAACTGCAGAGGGCTAAAAAATAAATAGAGGGGATGACAGCCACGTCATTATTAGACCACCTTAGCCTTAATTGCTTGAGAAATGAGGTCAGGGTGAGACAGGGTTCCAGCGCGCTCCTAACCTCAGGAGTGAGCCGTAGATGATGAAAACCATAATCACTCCCTGCATCCACAGCTGATTGAAGATGATAATGATAATTGCCCTTTAAAAACCCCAGGCTTCAAAGGACCATCCAGATAATTCTCAAAAGAAAAAAAGCAAATGGCCATTAAAAGTAGAAAAAAAAAATGTTCAGTTTATCTAGTAGTTAAAGAAATGCAAATTAACACAAGGCATACTTCTTGGCCTATCAAATTAATAAAAATTAAAAAGCAAATGGATAGTACCCAGTGCTGACAAGGGTGCCCCTGGAACTTATATCCACAGCTGGTGCAGATGTTTACTAGCTCTTTCTGGAAGGTATTTCAGGATGAAGTACCATATACCACGATTTAGACTATTTGACTCCATAATTTCACCTTTTTTTTTAGATATCTATTCTGAGGAGATAATTAGAAAGGCTCATACATGAAGTTGCCCACTGCAGCACTATCTATATAAAGTTTGAATATCTACATATTCAACAAGTAGGGATTAAAGAAAAATAATTTTAGTACATCCTAGCAAATTTATTTTATTATATTAAAAAAGAGTTCTTAATGACATGGGTAACTGCATATATTAAACGCAGTAAGTAGAATATAAAATCATAGATTTAAATTTGTCTCAGCCACATAAAGAAAAACACTCAGCACAAAGCCCTGCAGAGAGACCTTCCCAAACGCCGCCAGCACTGGCCCCCGGGCGGCCAGACTGTGCTTCCTTCCTGAGCTCGTTCTCCCTTTCTGGCACTGCATGAATTTAGTGCAATGAATATACACAGCTTTGGTAATCACCAAAAAATGGGAATGGAAAGAAGCAATGGCTTAGGACCAACTAAAGGTGAAACTCAGGCTATCATTTCTGGTTAACCTTCTCCAGTATACCATTTGTTTGAAACTAACAAACTAATAAGCAGACTCTGCTTATTCGTAACACAAATACTGAGGTGGGTTCATCAGGAAGTCAAATGGCTTGCAGGCTGAGGGGCCACACAGCTTTGCTAATATTCATATGGCTGAGCCAGGTTTTGGGTGAATATTCATTAAAACAAATTTTTTTTGGCTAAAATATTCAAACTTTTTGATTATGTAAGAAATACATTTTACATCACAACCCATGTAAATTGATGCAACTGAAACAAGCTTTAGTCTTACCTGCAGAGAATGTTGATATTTTCTACTCTATTCTACTTCCCTTGTTAAAATGCTGCTCATGAACTACTAAAAAATTGATTCCACAAGCCCCCAGTGTGCTGTGGACTGCAGCTAGAAAGACATGGGGGTGAGGGGGCAAGGAGAGCTGGGCTTATCCTCTCCCGCGTGTCCTGAGTTCTCAGATACGTACAGAGCATTTGAACCACAGTGGGTACTCTCTTGGCCAAGGTTGGGTTTCAGAAGTAAAAGGATGAACGTTAGGAGAAGCTCATGCTCTGCAGCAATCAAAAAGACAGGAGTCGGGGTCAGGCAGGTCCAGCCCAGAAGAGAAGCAGCCCCAGGCATCCAAAGAGCTCTTAGAAGCCACACTCAGTCTGGGAATTACTTTGCTCTTTCTAAGAAGCAGCACAGACTTGCAATGGTGACCTAGAGTAGGGAAGATACACTTGTTTTTGTGACATTCAGCTTCTCCCAATCACATCTTTGCTCTCAGATACAGTTGATACACATGGTCTTCATTTCCACAGGACTCTGTCTGGCACTGCTGACCCTCCAGTAATAGGGTTATTATACAACAATCTGTTCAGATCAGCCCCTTCCCCTTGCACGGATCTCCATGGGGGATCACTTGACTTTGTAGGGTGGATACTGCCTGTGGGGAGGACATGGATGTCCTGGCATGTTGGAAGCACCTGGTAACTTTCAGCTGGGAGGTGGTCAGCGAAGAGCCCTAAGAAAGACCACTGTTATGGGTTAAATGTTTGTGTCCTGTGTTGAAACCCTAACCCCTCAAGTGGTGGTAGGAGGTGGGGCCTTTGGGAGGTGATTAGGATTAGCTGAGGTCATAAGGGTGGGGGCTTCCGTGACGCCATCCATGTCCCTATGAAAAGAGATAAAGAGAGATTTAGCTTCTGTCTACTTTGGGCCACATGAGGACCTGAGAAGGTGGCAACGTACAACTTGGAAGAGGAGCCTCACCAAACTCCACCACCCTGGCACCCTGGTCTTGGACTCCCAGTCTCCATGCTGTGAGAATTAAACTCCAGTGATAAGCCGCCCCAGCTGAGGTGCTTTGTTTTGCAGCCTGAACCATGACAATCCCCAACAGCTGTTACTCTGCTGCTCTCGATGGGGCCCTGTTTAGTGAACAAGGAGAAGGGGGAGGCCAATGGATTTGAGAGAAAACTAAAAAAAAAAGTCCTAGTCTGTACAGACTTTAAGAGAAATATCCTCCTTTGGAGTGGGACTCAAGATGTCATATCATCCACTCTGACGATGACTATTAAGTTGCCTAAGATGTGCAAACCAACCCAGTGTGTATTCTTTTTGTTATTCTGGACCAAGGAGGCCATGGCCACAGACGGCAGAGGGGAGGTTCCAGAAATGCTGGCAGTGATCATCTACCAAGACTCAGGCCCTGGACACGCAGCTCCAGTCTTCCCACTCCCTCTCAGGTCCTTACCGGCCCTGCATCTAGAACCTCTTTTGTCCTTCCTTTTCGACTGGTCTAGGCTTGGCTTTCCTCGCCTCCATCCTCTCCTTGGCTCACACGTCTGGCCCTTGCAGGCCTGAAGAAGGATCCCAACTCCTGAGCGAGAGCCTCCTGACCATCACTCACCTTGTCCTCTCACACAAGCCTCTGTGTACTTGACTGGGTTACCCCGCGGCCACGCCGGGAGCCCCCATCTGTCCCCTCCGGCCTCCTCTCACACCAGGCTCCTTGCTCTCCATGATTCAGCCACTTCTTTAGCTCTTTTCATTAATTAATTTTTAAAAACATCTGGCCACACTGCACAGCATGTGGGGTCTTAGTTCCCTGACTAGGGACTGAACCCGTGCCTCCTGCAGTGAAAGCCTGGAGTCTTACCACTGGACCACCAGGGAAGTCCCGTCTAGTTCTTTAAGTGCACCGCACATGTCGATGCAGCACCTGTGCACACACATGCTTCCCTCTGCCCGTACCCCTCTTCTGCCCCTTTGCCAGGGGGTTCTTATCTTCCTTCAGAGGGCGGCCCTCCGGCCCTTCCTCGGGGATGTCTTCCAGCCCCCCCTCCCCCTGACCGGCAGCTCTCACGGCAGCTTGCCGCTCCTGTGTGTGTGGACTGCACCGAGGCAGGACAGCACCCAGGCCAGGACACAGACACTGGATTCTAACCCTGGCTCTGCCACTCACTGACTGGGTGACTACAGGCAAGTTCCCTGACTTCTCTGGGCCTCAGCGCCCACATCTGTAGACTGGAACCAACCGCAGAGGCCTTCCTCGAGGGTGACATGAGTGAGATGGGATGTGCTCAGAGCAGAGCTGGGCTCAGAGTGATTCTCCGTGCTCAGCACTCACACAGTACCTGGGACACGGCAGAGAGTCAAAGGACAATTTTTTCATGAATAAATCAATGGTCCAAAGACTTCAGTGCTAGCTTCGGGTGATCCACCCACAGTAAGCCACCCTAAGCTTTCTGTTCCCTGGATGAACCCTTCCTAGCAGCCAAGGTCTGCCCACCTCCCGCCCTTCATGTCTAAGGCAAGAGCAGAAATGGTGCGGGTCTGGGGGTCAGGGCTCACAGTCCCTCTCGGAGCCTCTGCCTCCCTCTCTGTAAAGCGGGGCAGTGAGTGTCTTAGACAGGTAAGCAGAACCAAGGAAAGACTCTACTTACAGAGCAGAAAAGATCTGCGGGAAAATGCTCAGGCTCACATACATGGGTAGCAATGCCAGCCACAACATTTGGAAGGCCCACTTCGCAGCCTAGATGTTGATGGTTAGTCTCTAAGGCATGTCTGACTCTTTTGTGACCCCATGGACTGCAGCCAGCCAGGCTACTCTGTCCACGGGATTTCCCAGGCAAGAACACTGCGTGATGGCCATTTCTTTCTCCCGGGGAATCTTCCTGACCCAAGGATTCAATCTGCATCTCCTGCATTGGCAGGCAGATTCTTTACCACTGAGCTAGCAGGGAAGCCCACCCCAGAGCCTACAGACAAGCAAAACAGTGATGACAACAACGGCAATAAAACCAGCCCCCAGCCTGAGCGGGCGAGGGGCTGGCCGGGGGAGCTGCCTCCGTACAGATCCGTCCTCCCCATCCCCAGATCTGCTCCTGGGCTGAGCAAGGGAACTGTGAGGGTACCGGTCGCCCAAATTAACCAAGGACATGGACGTGGAGTGATCTGCGAATGACAAGATGCTACACGGATGTTCACTTGCCATCGTCACTACAGGTCCAATCAATATTTCTGTGCCTACCCAGGAACATATAGACAGAACCATAAAACGGTCACAGTCTCTGACATAACCTCATGTTGTGGAACACAGCCTGAGGAACACAACAACAGAAGAAAAAGCATAAAGGCAGGGAAGTCCACCCTGATCCTATTTATAATGGAAACATCCAGTTACTGCCCAGCGAGTGAGGAGCTGTAAAGCAAAGTGTGAAGGAGCATCATGTCAGCAAGTATATTGGCTTGGCCAAAAACTTTGTTCGGGTTTTTCAGTACGCTGCTATGGAATACGGGACAAAAAACTCCAGCCCCCAGTAGAAGAAAAGGCAGAAGGCAGAGGAATGCGAGCATCCTAAGGGCAACTGCACAGCCGCAGGGACCGGCGCCTCGCTTCTGTGTTTTGTCTGCTTTTTGCACACGTGCCTTTGGGTGGGGGCATTGCTAATCTTTAGCTTTAAAGCTGATGACAGAAGTGCAGGATGCCCACAGTAACAACAGGCAGATCTCTGAGCATCTCAGTCCTGACAGTCAGCCCACCACCCCCACCCTCCAGACCAGAAAGCTAGGCTCAGAGAGGGGTGCAACTTGCCCAGGGTCACTGTAAGTAGAGGAGCTGGGTCAGCCTGACTTGGGGGCCTGTGTTCATCAACTTCCACTGTGCTCCAGAGGGCAAAACCCAGCCCTGTGGGTTGAGAGGACTGGAGGGAATATTTAAGCTGGATCCAAAGAGAAACCATCCTATGAGAAGAGAGGCCTGGGAAAGGAGCAGACATACTGGCAGGCAGTGACCCGCTGGCCATGAGAAGTGTGTGAGCAGGGCCAGCCTCCACCAGGTATGTGGGGGAGACAAAATCAGACCACAAAGGTCCCTGGAACACCAGGGCCACGGATCCGAGTGACGCTCTCGGCTGTTTGAAGCAGAAAGAAAAAGAGACTGGGAACAATACCTTGCCTGCGTTCAGTTCAGAAATTGCTGCCAAGATCTGCTGCCTGGATCCGTCTGTCTGAATACCCAGCTCCTTCAGGTCCCCGTCGGTGAGCGTGAGGAAGGCTTCCATATCCACCTGGGCAGAGAGAGGGGGATCTGCTGCCAGCTGCTCGGTGCCACCCGTCTTTTCTCCCAACCACAACTGGACTATCGTGATTATGAGCTATTAATGCTTACTAGTAGTGAATTGATGATGATTTACTAATTTCAATTCCCGGCTTTATGCTGAATGTTTATTTGAAAATATCATTAAAAATAAGCTCTCCTCAGCTCTCACCCTGGAATGTTTAGAAGTGCATTCTGGAAAGACTCTGAAAACAAAATAAGTAAGGGAAGTGTCTGAGATGGTAATCTGGGTGACCAGGGTGGTAGAAAGCCAAGTCCTGCTGATAGAAAGTTCACTGCAATGTCGCTGCACTTTGAACAGCACAGGAGGCCGCACAGAACATGCGCGTATACGGCGGTGCCGCCGCGGTCACCCCCAAGGCCAAGAGCGGTGCCGACTGTGGGAAGACAGAGTGAGAAAACCAACAAGCAGAAGCAATGAAGGCAAGAAAGACTGTGGAGAACCGAGGCAGAGAAGGGCTCAGAAAACGAGCATCTCAAAGCTGTTGGATCCCTGGTTTTTACCAGAGAAATTCTAACATTTCTGGCATCCCTGCCGGGGCCTCAGCTCCAAGAGAAATTTCTTCCCTTTCTTTCAATTTTCATTTTACTTTCCTGGATTAAAAAAAAAAAAAATCTTGAACCAAGTTTCAGTCAGTGGGGAAGGGTCTGCTCCCCTACCAAACATCACGCTCTCTCTGAGGCGCAGAGAGGGCCCCTCTGATAACGAAAAGCTCCCTGCATCTCTCTGGGGCTTTACAGATCACCAGGTGCTGACAGGCTGAAGGAACAGGTGACGTGGTTTTGATGGGAAACACCTGCCCCCTGACCCTGCTGGACACTCCCCTGACCTGAGGCAGAGACCCACACCCAGCCCGCGTGTGGGTCCCCGTGGCCAGCTCCTCAGAAAGCATGGAACACATGAAATAAAAGTAGGCAGCCATCTGCAAACAGGAAAGATTTTTTTTGACAACGAGAAAAACTGCCACTGAAGCTTAAGGCATCGAGAAGGCAGGAAGGACAGACGGGATAGCGCAGAAAAGCAAAAAAAGGAAGAAAGTCGTGGCACCCTGACTTCCTCTTGAACCGAAACACAAACTCCTTAACTGGGTCTCAAGCTTGCTGGAGACAAGGTGGGGTTCTCACGCCACATCAACTGTGACCATTGTCGGGCACTAAACTGGGCACTCGAATGTTCTAAGCCCGTGACTGTACCCTGGTAGCTAATAGGCCCACTGAGGAGTTTTATTTCGCTGACAGTAAAAATTTTAACATCTTATTGAGATGTAATTCACTTACCATACAATTCACCCATTTAAAGTGTACAACTCAATGATTTTTTAGTACAGAGTTGCGCAATCGTCACCACACTTAATTTTAGAGCATTTTCATCACCCCAAAAAAGAAAACCCATGCTCATTAGCAATCACTCCCATTCTCTCCTCCCCACATTCCCTGGCAACCACTAATCTACTTTCTGTCTCTACAGATTTGCCTATTCTGGACACTGCATATAAATGGAGTCATACCATATGTGGCCTTTTGTGACTAACTTCTTTCACTTAGCAGTGTCTTCAAGGCGCATCTGTTTTGCAGAGTGTATCAGTACTTCTTTCTTTTTAATGGCCAAGCTACATTCCAAGGTAGAGTGATAAGACATTTTATTTATTTATTCACCAGTTGATGGGCATTTGGACTATTTCTGCCTTTTGGCTATTATGAATAGCGCTGCTGTGAACACTGTTTGAATGTATGCTTTCAATTATTGTGGGTATATACCCACCTATGAGTGGGATTACTGGGTCATGTGGTAATTCTCTTCAACATTTTGAGAAACTGCCAAACTGCAGAACAGTAATTTTTAAGAACGTGACTGTGAGTGCTTTTAGGATTGTGAGTGTGAGCAAACAGGAATTCTCTTAGATTAATAGACACTTTATGTCCAGATACTTAACACAGATTCATTAGAGTTTGCTTTTAATCTACTTTAAACCTAAAAACTGGCTAGGCAATCCCCTTCAACTAAAGGAGAACAGAACAGGCACAAACTTTACTACAGAGAGCAGAGCTCAAAATTACAAAATTTTATTACAACAAAACAAGCCGTAAGGTCCCCAGGATTTCACTGTTACGAATGAACCAAATGTGCTGAACACAAATTCTATCTCTTCAGCCATCTCAATGAAAAAGATCAATCCAGGCTTAAAGAATGACAACCTACATATTTAGACAACTGTTTTATGCTAAGATTTCAGTGGACACTCAGAAAGAATATTCTTACCTCTTGCTCCTCAAAAATGGGCTGATATTTCTCAAGTGATAATTTCTTAAGGATTCCAGTCAGTTCATCTTCAAGAGGGAAAGAATGTAAAATAAGATATTTTAGAATTTGGTAAAACTGCCTCAAGAGTGGTCTTCAAACGTCATAAAGTCGTGGCGATCTTATTTCAAATGAAATTCTACAAGAAGCCCTGACACAGAGGACAGGCCCGCACTGCACGCGTGGGGAGCAGCTGCAGGTGGGCCTCGAGCTGCCTGCTGCGCATCCTGCTCCCTCAGGGCAGGTTCCCGGCGCCCCAAACCCCAGGCCGGGCTGAGAAGACAGAGGACGGTGAGCCTCACGGCCAGGCTGACTGCAGCGGCTGCAGCCACCAAGCTCTCCGAGTTCCAGCTTTTGGGCCTGAAACCCTGTGCTCTATCCAAGAACAATTTAAATTATGACTTCTCGACTGCGGTTAGCTACACTCGGAACAAACACTAAGCCTAGCACCCCTCGGCTAGACGGAGAAAGACCTGGAGAGAACAGGCAGCTGGGCTTCAGGGTCAAGGTGTGGCTTAAGCATCTGGCGACTGTGGGCTTCCTGAAGAAAAGGCGGGTCTGAGGGGAACGGGAGAGCCAGATGGACACAGACCAGGGGAAAAACAGAAGATCTGGGCTATCAAGTTGTCAGAGCAGGGAGGGAGAGAGGGAAGGAGACCAGACCAGCATCTGGGGGGCTTAGAGAATCATCCACTCACACATTCAAAAGGGGTTTACCAGACTAGGCACTGGGGACTCAACAGGGACCAAGACAGACCACAAGCAAGCTGACGGGTCAGCGAGGAAAAACAGAGCAGTGTCGGAGAGGCTGACAGGGAACGTGAGGATGCTGTTTTACAGACGGTGGTAGGGGACAGTCTCTCAGGAGGCGACATTTCAGCGGTAAACGAAGGAGCAAGCTGTGCAGACACCGAGGCGAAGAGCGCCGGCAGGATCCAGGCAGAGAGAACAGCAAGTGCAAAGGTCCCGGGGCAGTGGGCGCCGCTTACAGAACAGTGGACCGGAGGTTAGGTGGCCAGAGGCCCACTCACCCATCACGCAGCAATAGCTACCGTGCCTGCTGCACGCTGGGAATGCAAGTACCGGCAGGTCCCCGTGGCAAAGGAACTCGATGTGACTGGGAGGATATGCTGAAGAGGGTGACGGGTGATGCGCCGTGCTCACCATCAGGCACCCTGGACAGGATACCCATCTGCTCCTAACAACCCCACGAGGCAGACCCTATCACTGCTCCCATTACAGATGAGGAAGGACAGAAAGCTGATACCATATCTCGGGTGGGACCACACCACGGGTCCACAGCGCAGTGGGGATGCAGACCCAGAGCTTTAGCTACCAGGCCTCTGCCACACAGCACTCTGCACAGGTGGTGAGCCCGTGGTGAAGGGCATGACCAAGGGGACGGAGAGGACAGCTGACCCGCCCAAGGGACCAGAGAAGCTTCACAGAGGAGCTGCTAACGAGCTGTGATGTTACGAGATGAGATGAGTCCCAGCCCACACATAACCCGTTACAGACTCGGGATGCCCATAATGCTGCTCCCTCCATGAGTCTCTCCTCACATCTGTGTGCTGGCTTTCTGGGAGGGGGAATGCATGCATGTGTGTACATACAAAACTTTACGGGAGGGGGAATATATGCATGAATGTAGATACAAAACTTTACGGCAGATTTTACTGATGTAAGGATGTATGTGCACAATTTATATACGATAATAAATTACATGATACTCTATATTATAAACTCCATGTAGCAATGCCTTTCCTGGATATCAGGCATTTCCCTGAATGTCTCACTGATTTTCGCATCATTCTTGCAGCCAGAGCCAATGAGCACAGTTCCTACATGAAGGCTTGCTGATGCTTCTGTTCAGGTGAAAACGTGAGATGAAACGAAACAACGAAGACAAATGTTAGAACTTCATGTGAGCAACTTTGCTCAATCAGATAAAGGTTTTCAAGTCCTGAAAAACTATTTAGACTATTTTCTCAATTTTCAGTGCCAGAACAGCTATAGACATGACACTTTAGAGTTTAACCTGCAAAATCAACTTTGTCTAGATGACATCCAGATGATCAATACAACATTAACTCAAGTCCTGGTGGGTATTTGCTGATTTCCATGGTGGAAATACATCAAGGCTGATTTCAACCTGCCAATGTCATGTTCCTGGAAATGGAACTGGGAAAGACGCACAGAAGTAATACATCAGTACACAGTATTCCCACAAAGAAGAAAAAAGAGACATAAAGAACCTCAAGAGCACAGATATTAGAATGCAGTAGAAGATTAGAAAATAATACATTTTGATTTAAACGCCACATACCTTAACACGTAGCATAATCAGCTTAAACATAAGTTCCTGTAATTGGACTTTCCTACTTTTTTAACACATATTTTTGCTGTTGTTGTAACCTGACTTTTAACAGCTGTGTTTAGTCGCCACCTCATGTTTCCTTGGAGAAGGAAATGGCAACCCACTCCAGTATTCTTGCCTGGAGAATCCCGTGGATAGAGGAGCCTGGTGGGCTGCTGCCCATAGGGTCGCAGAGAGTCGGAAACGACTAAAGTGACTTAGCGTGCATGCATGCATTGGAGAAGGAAATGGCAACCCACTCCAGTGTTCTTGCCTGCAGAATCCCAGGGACGGAAGAGCCTGGTGGGCTGCCGTCTATGGGGTCGCACAGAGTCGGACACGATGGAAGCGACTTAACAGCAGCAGCAGCATATGTTTCCTATAAATTTAACAATCGGCTCTGGCCCAGCTGCACACTATCTGCTCAGTCCCTGCAGCCCGGCCCAAGGCCACTCTTCAGGGAAGCCCACAGTGATGCTCCACGCCTTGCTGGTAACACAGGTTTAACCCCACCTTGGGTTATAATCACTTAATGTTGTTATGCAGAATGTATCTGAATCCCCGGCCCGATGAACAATCAGCACAACTTATAGCTCCCAGGGCTGCCTCAGCCACCTTCATGGAACGAATGTGAAGCTTACACGACATTGTCACCACCTCACCATTTCCTTCAGCAGGAGTGAAGACAGGGACACGGCATGAGCAGGGCAAAGGCTTGCACGTGACCCTTCACCGAGGCTACGGGTTTTCCACAAAAATATCATCAAGAATGGCTCTCCAGTGATGGACTTCAGGCTCTGGTCTGTGATAATCTAATGCCTGCAGGACAAGGGTGTTGCTGCCTCGGGACCCAGAAACCCCAGGAAGCAAAAGTAGGCTTTCTAAGCCAGAGAAGGTAACCTTAAAAAAAAATCTGCTCTCAAATCCTCCTCTGTTTTTTATCCCAATGAGGCTTTGCAAACGTTTTTTTCCAATAATGAATGAAAGGGGAGAAGAGTGGGCACAGACAGGGCAATCAGATATCCACTGTCTGAACTTTTTTGGGGGAAAATGTAGGGTACAAATCCCAAGCTGAGCCACTAGGAGTTTAGATTCCTGAGGCCTTCTGAGGCAGGAGAGTTCACGGGCGGGGAACTTAAGATACCACACAGAAATTCTCTGGTGGTCTAGTGGTTAGGACTCCATGCTCTCACTGCAGAGGACCCGGATTCAATCCTTGGTTGGGGAATTAAGATCCCACAAGCCACGTGGTGTGGCAAAAAAGGAAGACCATTATATGTATATATATATAAAGAAAACACAGAGAGGAATGGGGTTGCTAGCCAACCTCTGAAGCTCTCATAAATGATCACACTAGACAGCACAAAACAATAAAAGCAGTCCCAAATAAAGAGGATGCCCGTGGTAGTGTACATTTATTAATGCAGCACAGACCATAGCCTGTGCAGTTGATTTCAACTTATCACGTGCCGGGCAGAACCTGCTCTTCACTCCCTCCCAGCAGCTGCAGTGAGACGCCTGCAAACCACACACAGTGAGAATCTCCTCGCCTGCCTGATTCACACTCTGATTGCACCTGCCTGGTCCCGAGCTCTCAGCAAAGCTCCGCTCCCTCCTCTCCCACCCCTGCTCCCAGGAGCCACCAGAGAGCAGTTTTTAAAAGGATGAGCTGCTTCTCTCTGGGACCTCACTACAGGGCCTCCAACTCCCTCCCTGCCGTCCGATCCATCTCCCTCTCCTCGTCGCCCCCACTCACGCAGGTTCCAATGTTCTCCCAGTTACACCTCCTGCTTTTACCTGCCCTCCATACACTTCCATTTTCCTTTAAGGAGCTACTTCCCTCCTGCTCCCAATCCACACAATCTGACCCTAACTGGCCCTGGCTCCAAAGGTAGACACACTCTGCCCTTGGGGACACAGAGATCGTCAAGGATGGGCAAACAACCCAAGTCATTATAAATACAGCCAAGACAGGACAATGATCTTTACCCGTGGGGTTTTGCCGGAGCTGCTAAGAAAGGAGCACGCTTTGTACTGGGGTGTCTAGGTTACCAGGAAGAAGCATGAAGCTGCAGGGGGTGTCCCTGCCACCGCCTGAAGACAGCCTACCTGCAAGATGGAGTGAAACATTCCAAGGCACATGGATTTAGACATGCTTGAAGCACACCCTAGATACTTCCATTATGAGCCCACGGATGATCAGTGTTTTGGTTTTGTTTTGCTTAAATCAGTTTGAATGGAGATTTCATCCCTTGCAACTGACAGGATTCTGATTTGTACGAGGCTCAGGGAAAGGTATACAATGGGCGGCGGAAAAGCGGTTTTACAGGCACACACCCATGTACACAAACAAAGCCAACCTACATTCGGGGACTACTGTATACCTCTGAGGTACCTAAGCTCAGTGAAAACAAAGATGCAAGGTATAATCAGGGAAGGGAAAGATGTTTTCGACTGAAAAAACTAAAAAACACCTGACCCAGGACAGCTCTGGCAATGCAGGGCACCTGCTCGGTCACCGTGGTGAAGAGGGGAGGGTGGGGTTCCAGGGCCTTTCGGGGGGCTTACCCTCATCAGTGATGGTGCCACTGCTGGAGCCCCCGCTGCTCTTGGACTGCCGGTGGGATGAGGAGGAGGACACGGAGGACTCGGCCGCGTGCCCTTTGGGAGAAGGGGAAGGCGTGAGGGTGGGGGAGGTGCTTTTGGAGGTCGTGGAGGTTCCAGATGGAGGCCTTTTGCTCGTCTCCAGTTTCTGCTGAAAAGAGTAAGACAAATATACAAGCCATCACCTGGAGGGCAGACATGATTCAGACAGACACCCACAACAGGGAACACGGGCGATATATGATGCAACGAGATGTCTAACCAGGACTATGAAATCTACTTCATAGAAAACATGCAAAGCAGAAACCACAATATCAAACCAGGTTCAGGAAAACCCTCCCCTGAGAAGAGACGGGGAAGGGGATGGAAAAAGCGGCACAAGAGGAGCCAGAAAAGCCCGGTCCCGGTCCTGTCCAGAGAGCGGCCAGCATCACGTCCTTGGCCGGGTCCCCTGACCTCACTGCCATGCCATGCTAAGTTGATGCAGTCGTCTCTGACTGTGCAACCGACGAACTGTAGCCCACCAGGCTCCTCTGTCCATGGGATTCTCCAGGCAAGAATACTGGAGTGGGTGCCATTCCCTTCTCCAAGGGATCTACCCGACCCAGGGGTCGAACCCAGGTCTCCCACATTGCAGGCAGATTCTCTGAGCCACCAGGGCAAGCCCTTGAACCCACATCTCTCTGGCATCTCCCTCACTGGCAGGCGGGTTCTTTACCACTAGCGCCACCTGGGAAGCCAGGTGACTGCTCACTGACCAGCTCTAAAATGAAAGTGTGGCTTCTTAACACACGTAGGCCCATTCTGCTCTGGATGTTCCTTCATCTAAACCAGTCACTTTCAACCACTCACCGCAGAACACTTACTGTTTTTCCTCTGTATGTGTTGCACATGAAAAAAGCCTTTTTATTTTGAAGTACTTTTGTTTATTTTATAGAAGCACAGTTGATCCACAATGTTGTGCCAGTTTGGGGTGTACAGAGTTAGTGATTCAGGTGGGGTTTTTCTTGCAGCTTATATCTCATTATGGGTTATTACAAGATATTGGGTATCATCCCGTGCTTATACACAGGGGTTTACTGCTTCTACAGCAAATCCTTGTTACTTACCTATTTTATATGCAATAGTTTATATCTGTTTATCACATACTAATTTGTCCCTCCCCACCCCCTATGGTAACCTCAAGTTTGTTTTCTATGTTTGTGAGTACTTTTAGACTTACAATTATGGGAACTAAGAAATTAACACTGGGATGGCACCATCAGCTAAACTGCTGGTGGCACTCAGATATCTGCCGTTGCTTCACTGATTCTTCCTTTGGTCCAGGATTCATGCTGCACTGACCCATTCTGTCTTCCTATACTCCTCCAACCTGTGATAACTCCTTGGTCTTGCCTCGTCTGTTATGACCTTGTTGCTTTCAAAAAGTCCTGTTCAGGCATTTGTCAGGTATTTGTAGTGAGTTTGTCCTGTTTCCTCATAATTAGATTTTCTCATGCATCTTTAAGTTGACAACCACAGAGGTGATGGGCTGTTCTCAGAGCATCACACCAGGAGCTACAAAGCACCAATACCTTATCCCTGACGATGATTTAGTTAAGGTGGGGGCTGTCAGATCGCTCCATTATGAAGTTATGATTTTTCCCTTTATAATCAATAAATATCTGGGGAGACATTTTGAGCTAAATTTTTTTTTTCCTGTTTGTCTGTTAACTTTAACATTCTCTGGTGCATCTTCTCTGGAGCAATTACTACTGTGAGGTTCTAATGGTGATTTGTTATTTCCCTTATTCCTTCCATATTTATTACTTGGAAATCTATCCAGAAGAGTTGTTCCTTCTCCCCCACTTATTTATTCAGACCAGTATGGGCTTGTGGATATGTATGCTCTGGGCTGTAATCCAACACTATTGTTAAGCCCTGGTCCCTTTTATTGGAGGGTGGCATTCAGATGATAAAGTCTGGATGGTAGGCTGTTCACAGCTCCTGGGATCCCACTCCTAGGTCCTCTCAGGGAACAGAGCGAGTAAATACATGAAGTCTACTCACCGACGCACACACATGTAGCCATACTTAGTCAGGTATACTTACAAGCATGCATTCATACTGATTCATACTGATAGCTCTGACTCCAGTCCAATATCCACAGGGCTAGTTCCACCATTTTCCCTATGACTCAATCTCTGACAGCTAAAAACTGAGCTCATTATTTGTTCAACCTTAGTATATGTGTTAAGTATATGTATACATACATATATATATACACACACATGTAAAGCAGCTTCAGAATTGCTAGCCTATAACACCTACAAGAAAAAAAAAACCCAACTAGAATACAATGCTTATCTACAGTTCTTTATGTCTTTACTCTTTAATCTCCACTGACATGTTTTTGCCCACCTCCTACAGTGTAGGTATGTCATTAACTTGTAATACAGCTAGATCTGTTGTCACAGTCTGCATACATCCTTAGTTCCTGGTTGATTTAAAATCCACATGCAGTAAAAATAACTTCTGTGTACAACTCTTCAGGTATTGATAAATAAGCAGAGTTGTGTATCCGCCAACAGAGTACCATATGGAACAGTTCCATCATCCCCCAAATTCCCTTGTGCTGTTTGTTTCTAGTTAACTCTTCCCCCACTTCCAATCCAAAGAAATAACTGATCTGTCTTCCATTCCTATAATTTTGCATTTTGAAGAAACTGTCATACACATGGAATCACATGAGATGTACACTTTTTTGTCTGGCTCAGCATAACACTTCTAAGATTCATTTAAGTTACTGCATGTGTCAATGCTGTATTCTTTTCCATTGCTGAGTAGTATTCCATTGTATGGGCTTCCCAGGTGGTGCTAGTGGTAAAGAACTTGCCTGCCAATGCAGGAGACGTAAGAGACATGGGTTCAGTTCCTGGGTGGGGAAGATTCCATGGAGGCAGGTATGGCAACCCACTCTAGTATTCTTGTCTAGAGAATCCCATGGACAAAGAGGCCTGGTAAGCTACAGTCTATAGCATTGCACAGAGTTGGACATGACTGAAGCAACTTAGCATGCATGCACATATTCCATTGCATGGGTATTACCACAGTTAGCGTACATATTTACCTGTTATGAGATGTTTCTATTTTAGGGTATTTATGAAAAACTGCTGTAAACATTCACAAACTGACTTTTGTATAAATATAATTTTTTAAAAAATCTATTTGGGTAAGTATCTAGGAGACAGACAGACAGGTCACATGCTCAATGTACGTTTAGTTTTATAAGAAACTGTCAAACTTTTTCAAGGTGGCTTTATCATTTCTGCATTCCCATCAGCAATGAATGAGAATTCCAGTAGTTCCACATTCTCACTGCTCTTGTAACTTAATTTTTTTTTTAATTTTAGGCAGTCTAATAACAGGTGTAGAGTGCTATTTCATTGTGGCTATAAATAGCATTTCCTAAATAATGATGCTGAACATTTTATCAGATGTTTACATGCCATCTATATATCTTCTCTGATGAATAATCTGTTCAGATATTTTGCCCATCTTTAAATTTGTTGGTTGTTTACTTATTGTTGACTTTTGAGAGTTCTTTATTCTGGATACAAAACCATTATCAGACACATGATTTGCAAATATTTTGCCTATTAGGGCGTGGCTTGTCTTCTCAGTCTCTTAATGCTGTCTCTTGTTGGCAAAAGATCTGAATTTTTATGAAGTCCAATTTAACATTTTTTCTTTTATGGATCATGCTTTTGGTACTATATCTGAAACTCCATGCCAAATTCAAAGTTACACAGATTTTCCCCTAGGAATTTTATAGTGTTTCATTTTATATTTCAGTCTATGATCTATTTTGAGTTAATCTCTGAATTCACTGTGAGATATATGTGGAGGTTCATTTTCTTGCATATTCAATCGTTCCAGCACTATTTGTTGAAAAGACTACCTGTTCTTTGTTGAACTGGCTTTGGACCATTGTGAAAAAAAATTTAGTCGACTCTTCTTGTTAGGTCTATTTTTAGCCTCTCTATTCTGTTTCAATGACCTATGTGCCTGTCCTTCCCTAATACCATACTGTTTTACAGTAAGTCTTAAAACTAGGTATTGATAGTATGATTCTTTTTTATAATTCTTTTGCTTATACTTTCTTTGCATCTTAAAATAAATTTCAGAATCACTTTCCAGATCTCTACAAAAAGAGCTAGCTGGGATTTTAATTTGGATTATATTGAATCTATAGATCAAACTGCAAAAAAACCGAAACCTTAACAATATTGAGCCTTCTATCTCTTCATTTATTTACGCTTATTTATCAATGTCTTGTGGTTTTAAACCTACAGATTCTGCACATACTTTATTAGATTTATACCTAAAGATTTCATTCTCATAATACATTTTCATATAATTTCATTTCTATATAATACATTTCTAATGTACTGTAAATGATACTTTCAGTTTCAAATTTAAAAAGTCTGATAATTCTAGTTCTAATTGTTCATTGCTACTGTATACAAATACAATTGACTTTTGTATACTGACTTCATATCCCGACCCTGCTGAACTCACCTTTTAGTCCTAGGAGGGTTTGTGTAACTTTTTTGCACTTTCTGAGTAAACAAACATATCATCTAAAACTAGAGATAGTTTTATTTCTTCCTTTCCTATCTGTGTACCTTTAACCTGTTCCTTACCTTATCACACTAGCTATAGGACAGGTTTTGGTACAAAGTTGAGAGCGGCAACATCCTTGTTCCTGATCTTTGGTGAAAAGCACTCAGTCTATTATCATCAAGGACAATTCTAAGCACAGGTATTTTATATGAGGTCCAGGAAGTTCTTTTCAATTCTTGGTTTGCAAAAAAGTTCTGATCATGAATGGAGTTTGAGTCTTGCCAGGTGCTTTTTCTGCATTTTATTCTTCAGCCTATTAACCTGGTGAATTACGCTAATGAAGTGCTCTTTTTCAGTATTTATCCTATTCCGTGTTCCCTGAGCTTCCTGGACCTGTAGTTTGGCATCTGTAATTAACTGGGGGAGAAATTCGTGGCCATTAAAAATATATATATTCCTTATGCCCCACCATTCTCTCTCTCGCTTCAGGGGTTCCAATTACCTGTATGAGAGCATTTGTTACTGTCTCACAACTTTGGGGTGCTCAGCTTTCGTTTTTGCTTTGACTTCTTTTTTACTTCATGTTTCAGTTTGGGTAATTTCTATTGCCCTATCTTCAGGTTCATTGATTCCTTCCTTGGCTGTGTCAAGGAAAGAATATTTCTACTGAGGAGCCCATCAGAGGCATTCCTCATCTCTGTGTTTTTTATTTCTAGCATTTCCATTTGGTTCTTATAGTTTCCATTTCTCTGCTAAAATTGCTAATCATAGGAGTCTGCATGCTGTTCAGACTGTCCACTAGAGCCTTCAGCATATTAATTGTAGTTCTTTTAAACTTCCTGTTACATAATTCCAACACCTGTTTCACACCTACATCAGATTCTGATGACTGCCTTGTTTGCTGGGAGGCTGGTGTTTCTCACATTTTTACATGCCTTATAGTTTATGTTAAAAATTGGATATCTCATATAGGAGAGTAGAGACCAAGATAAATAGTTTTCATGCCTAGAAATGGGTACACCTTTCCTTCTGCTAAGCCTTTAATGTTCCTTCTTGCTAACTACATCCCAGAGTGGAAACAGAAGTCCCTTTCTTAGACTTTAAAACACTCTGTCAATAAGCTGTCTATATTATTAATGGATTCTTTCTTCTGCTTTTTCTGTGAAGACAGCCATTCCATAATAAAGCCTCTGATTAAGCAGGAGACAACTGGGATATCCCCACAAAACAGATCCTATTTCAGTAACGGGCAAAGAAACGCAATACTCTAGGCCTGCAGGCAACATTACTGGGGAGGAGGCAGGTAAATTTAAGATGTGGGATGCTCTGAAATATTTGAACTATTCCTTTCATCTCCAGTGTGGCAGACTGATCATGTCATGGCATCATCTTCACCCTTCCTGTACCCATACTTTGCTACATAACTGTGTGGTCTCCTGCAGTGGGTGTGATGACTTGCTTAAACTTCATTGGTTTTCAACTAATGCCTTTGACTGTTGCCATGAGAACATGTCCAAACTTGTTGTGGACACACAAGGACCCATTGTTCTCATCACCCTAGCCAACAGTCAAACATGTAACAGATCCCCTCAGTCCAGAAGCACTGCTTAGCTAAGTCCAGACTAGGCTGCCCAGCCACAGATATGCAAGCGTAAGAAATGCGTTGTTTTCAACCATTGTCCTTTTGGGTGGGAACAGAAAGCTGATATTCCCAGGGGGCCTTTGGGCTTTCTGAGATCTGGGAAGTGAAGCACACTCCGGCCCCACCCCATCTCCATTCTGTATCTGCTAAGGCACACTTCACGTCAGAAGTCATGCCTTACAAATATTCTACCCCTGCAGAGTGCTTGGTTTAAGCAAAGTGCAAAACCCAGAATCACCAGGCTCATATTTTGAATACTAATTTCTAATTCTTCCTAAGGGAGTCTTTGAAAAGCACTTCATGTCTCCATTTTGCTGCCAGAGCCTTTGACAGAAAGCCCACTCCTGTGTCCTTTGATTTAGGGCAGTGATTTCTAAGAACTTGGGCTGGGCTGGCTGCAACACTCCCGGAAGAGAAAAACAGATTCCTCAGACCCTACCCTGAGAAGCTCATTTAGTTAAGCTGTGTGGAACCCAGAAATCTGAGTTTTTAAGTAGCTCCCCAAGTTTACAGCATATTCTTATGCTAGGAATATCAGGTGATCATTGAACTGGATTGTTTCTCCAGTTTTCTGTTTCCTGAATGCATCTTCTGACACAATTTTCTTTCATCAGAACACAGCTTGTACATACCTTAAATATGACAGGTGCATCCAGGTGATGCAATGCTTAATATAATTTATAACTCAGATGCCTCCCTATTCCCAACACCAATGAAAGGAAGCTAACAATATATAACACATCTAATAAGACCATCAAAATAGAAACAGAAAATTTTAGACAACAGAGAAGAGGAAAACTATATCAAAATTCTAGAGTAGCAGATTTACTGTAATGAGTACCTGAGTTTCCTAGCAGCAAAGGCAAAAAGAGAAATATGCTAATTATAGAAATTTTACTATCAGATGAAATAAAACATATTGAAGGATCAGTAGACATTTTGTACCTAGAGTTGAATTCTAAAAGGAACTTAATTTCATAAATCCTAGTACACAAGTAATTTTGAACATAATAGAAAATATGCTTACATATACAGACTTTTTTTCTGGAGTTAACACTGTAAAGAAACTAATTACATAGGACCAATTGCATAAGGGACTTTGAATAATGAAGAAAACTGTGTAACTAACAGTCGTTAGACAGAAAACAAAGACTATTTCTCGTACATCCATTACGATATTAATCTCTGAAAGCAGTTCTGGGCAAAGGTCCAGGGCTGAGGCCTTTAGATGATCTAACTTTTCCCAGGGAGAAAGCTTAAGACATCTAGAAAATGAAATGAAAAGTGGGGTTGTGCCTGGACTTGGGGTCCTCTCAGAAGAGGGAATGGGCTATGACACCCCTATGGAGAATGCAGGGAACCAGCTGTTAAAGGAGCCAGTTCATGATCATGACTAGGACCCACACTCTGGGGCTTACTCCATTAATCAACCCAGGTGGAGGGACTACAGAGGTGGAGGGGGTAGATTCTGAAGACACGGGAAGACCTCCACTCCCTGAGGCATGTGGGGTGTCTCACCCATTGCAAACCCCACAGGTGCTAACAATGTGGTAACTGCTCTGTGCTTGCATACTAAGTTGCTTCAACCGTGTCCGAGTCTTTGCGACCCCATGGACTATAGCCCACCAGGCTCCTCTGTCCATGGGATTCTCCAGGCAAGAATACTGGAGTGGGTTGTCGTGCCCTCCTCCAGGGGATCTTCCCAACCCAGGGATCAAACCTATGTCTCTTATGTCTTCTGCATTGGCAGGCAGGTTCTTTACACCTAGGGCCACCTAAGAAGCCCGGTAACTGCTCTGGGGCTCATTAATGAAGGCAGATGAGGCCTCCGCTTTGTCCTGCTCACCATCCTTCCTATAGCTCCTTTCCTATGTCACACACTCACCTCTGGAGCCCTGCACATGCCATCACCTCACCCTGGGACAGTCTCATTCCATCCCACCCTTGCCCCTTTCACCTCACCCTTCAGATCTCCATTGAGATGTCACTGATGCCCTCAAGAATCAGCAAGGACGAATGCCCCATAGCATCCTCCCTTCTCCAGAAGAGACACGATGCTGTCTGTAGTGACAGCAAGAGAACGGTCCCCAAGCCCTTCACTCACTGCTGGACCCTCGCTGCTGGAAGTGAGCACAGGGCAGATGCCCCAAAGACGTGGATGGTGGGAGGACAGGGTTGGAGGGCAAATATTACCGCTACGACTGCCAACAGTAACACCCGACACTTACACAGGTGTACCAGGTACCGGCCCCATTCTAAATGCTAAAATGTGAGGCTGAGATCAGAACCCTTCTGCTCTAAATCAACGAACAAAAACCTGTGTTGCGTGAGACTGGATGACCAGCGCAGGACGGCAGAACCTGGCGCTCACCCCAGCAGCACCCCGCACCTCTGCACCCATCCCACCTGGAGGTATCTTGGAGATCAGGTGGGAGGTGAACGCATGTGCACACAACACCAAGGCCATGGGGTGTGACTCGGAAACCACCCTTCTCGGAAAGCCCAGGGGCAGCCGATGGAAGGTTTAGTCATCCCATGACAGCGGCACTGCCCGCGCTCCCCAGGGGTCAGCGGTGCTAGGACAGCACTGATGAGCATCAGAGGAGGAGGCGGAAACAGAACAAGCACCTTGCCACCAGGAACACTGCCGCCTGCTGGGGAGACCGGGAGTTCAGACGGGCTGGAGCTGGGCGCTGGCCCAACAGGACTTGACCGGTGGCTGGGCTTCTGCTCAGATAATCCGGCTGCTTTTTTCCTCTGGGCAGCGATCTGGGAGAGGACACTGTCTATGCTGCCACCTGAAGAGAGAGGAATAGGAATGACTGCCAAGGTTCGGAGCACTGCACCGTGGGCAGGGGACATCAGGCGCTGACCCAGCTGAGCTGAAACCACACTGCCCAGACCATCCCCTGGCTCTGGGTCAGGGCTGGCCACAGGACTGCGTATGACAACTGGCAGGCGGACAGGCCCCCAAGGCCCCAGTGTATCCCCGCTTTCCACTGTGCCACGGCCAACTCAGTCGGCCTTCAGCAAGCCAGACACCAGGCCGGCCCTGGGTGACCAGAGCAGCCCCTCCCAGCGCCTTCTGACAGCTGCACGCACTGCCCCGCCAGGCTCCTCCGGCACTGTCCACCCCATCCCCATCTCCCCACTCTGAGCCTTCACACCGCCAGCCACTCCCAGAGTTGGGTCAATAGCTTTCTGACTCCGTAACACTCAAGGGCTCGGCTTCCTTGATCGAGTCCTGATTTTGCCATGGCCCCTCTCCCTGTTTCTCCAAACAGCGGCCCTGACTGGTGATGAAGGGAAAGGGGAAGATGATAATACCCAGGGCTAGGGAGGGCATCAGAGGGAGAACGCCGATGACTACGACTTACAGGGCACTGACCAGGTGTCAGCACCGCTGTAAATGTTTTACACGTATAAACAGGGCCGTTCTGGAGGGCAAAGTGGAAAGCTTCAAAAACAGACAAACCCATTGACCCTGGCACCCTGATTCAGAGGCACTTACATTAAGCAAATCACTAAGCAAGTGTGTAAGCCCAGCACTCTGAAGCCATTACTCAGAGTGGGATATACAGGAGCAAAAATCTGGAACAGCCTCAGTGTTCAACAAGAGGGAACTGGTTAATTAAAACTGTGACACCTCACATGAGTGGAAGGCTGTTTGGTTATTTAAAAGATGCTGTCCACAGGGAACCCTGTTCAATGTTATGTGGCAGCCTGGATGGGAAGGGAGTCTGGGTGGGAGTAGATACATGCATACGTATGGCTGAGTCCCTTTCAGGCTGTCCACCTGAACATATCACAACATCGTTAACTGGCTACGTGCTAAGTCACTTCAGTCGTGTCCAACTCTTTGCAACCCCATGGACTGTAGCCCACCAGGCTCTTCTGTCCATGTGATTCTCCAGGCAAGAATACTGGAGTGGGTTGTCATGCCCTCCTTCAGTGCTACTTCAATATAAAATAAAAAGTTCAAAGATGAAAGATGCTGTGGATACACATGCATTGGCATAAAAAGGTGGTTACGACGTGGGAGCAGGCACAAAGAGGGAAAAGCTTACACAGCAGGGTAACTCAAAAGTCAGCCTGCTGCGGGCGGGTCTGGCTCCGCCGCTTCACCTCCGTGGGACTCTGGCTGAGTTCATTTAACTCCCCGAGCCCCAGCTCCCCCTTCTGGAAACTGGGGAGGATACCTCACCGGTTGTTGGAGGACTGAAGGAGATAGTCCACTTAAAGGGCACTGTGCCTGGCACACACTAAGTGCTCAAAAAATTATTCTTCTTTCATAAATAAGTGAGATGCACCTTGCAAGATATACATCAAAATGTTAACAGTGATTCCTAGTGGATGAGATTACACTTTTTTTTTTGCCTTTTGCTTTAGCTGGTTTTCAAGCTTTCCCACAAGAAGCATGCATTACATTCCTATGTAATGGCATAAAGCATGGTGCCTTCCTGCAAAGCTCGCTTTCGTTAATCCTGGATGCCCTAGGAGAAGACTAGGACGTATCCTGTAACCAGCCTCATTACCTTTTCCCATACTCTGTTCTGTTTGTTTTTTTACAGTATTTCCAATCTCAGATTAAAAAAAAAAGTTGCCAGGCAAGAATACTAGAGCAGGATGCCGTCTCCTGCTTCAGGGGGTCTTCCCAGACCAGGGACTGAACCCGCACCTCTTGCATCCTCTGCGTTGGCAGGCGGGTTCTTTACACTAGCGTCACCTGGAAAGTCCCCACTTAAAAATCTACTCTTCGTTGTTGTTTTTTTTAATTATCTGTTTGCACCAGAATACAACTTCCTACAAAACTGACTTTGAATTTCTTATTGCTACGTGCTCTATCACCTAGACTTTGGCTTATATCTAATAAGTGGCCAGTAATATTTTCCGAAAGAACATGGTAAATAAATGTAATGACTGAAAACAAGTAAACTTAAAGAGAAGGAAAGTATGCCACAAGCCCAAAATAACGGGAGGGCAAACGGCCTTGAGTTTTAACTGTCACCTCCTAGCTGTGTACTCCTGGGCAAATCCATCAACCACTCTGAGCTTCAGTTCCTTCATTTGTTCACTAAAAAATCAGGATGAGAAGATACCTAAGGTTTAACCTTCAAGGATTTTAAACACCACAAAAACACTATTCACTTCTATTAGTTTCTTGCAAAACTTTCTAACAAAAGAGACCATTACAGACTACCTCTTCCCTTACCACTCCCCACTCCCTCGCCCTAGAGAAAAAAAACTGCATGAGACAAACGCGGAACTGTGAATTCACTGAAAAACCCTTCGGGCACATCCGTGAGAAAGACGGCGTGCATGCAGTGGTCTCGAGGGCGGTCTGCAGCTCATACCCTCGACCCTCCGTGATCTGCCTGCCTTCCTGGAGGGGGCGGCCTGGGTACACACCTGAGCGGTTATGCAGCTCCCCTCCATGCCTGCTCACGCCTCCTCCCCCACTGGAGCCACCGGAGGAATGAGGTGAGTGGTTGAAGTTTCCAGAATTGGCGGGGGAGGCTGGGCTTCTGGAGAGAGACGGGAACTTAACCGGCCTGACGAGAGTCTGCAAGAGTAAGGCGGATCCGCAGTGAGGGTGTGCTGCTGCGGCCTCCCACACACAGGTCACATCGGCTGGCCCATCCGCCTGCTAGGCGGCCCCAGGGGACGGGAGTTCCCGCTACCTGCTGACAACTCCACCGGCCACGAGCTCAGGCTCAGCCCCTGTGACACGGCTTCCCCGGCTCACCCGCCCCCTCCCGAGTGTGGACTGACTCGAGCCCGCTCCGGCCGGTTCAAGCACTCCCAGACACCAGGGCCTTGGCCTCCGGCCAGTGATTTGGCGCTACAACAGTCCAGGAAGGCAGCAGCAAGCACCAGGGGCTCAGACAGAGACGGGGGCGGAGTGTCTCCAAGCAGCAGGGTCAGGGCCTAAGTCCCGGGATCTCCATTGTCTGCAGCCTACTCGCGAGGGTCTCAGCCCCACATTGAGAGGGACCGCCACAGCGTGTCACAGAAACACACTGAGGGCCACCAGATCAGAAACCACCGTGGTCAGGAGGGCAGAAGTCACACTCTGGCTGCAGGAAAACTCGAGGAGCACACACAGTGGTCTCCAGTGTTTGAGTTTGGTCCTGAACCTGTGCAGTAATGTCGTGTGGAGCCTGTTAGAGCCAAGAACCTGATGTTTGGCACCAGCATCCTCAACCCCACTCGGCTCGGGGACCCTCAGCAACTGCCTCCATTCTCTGGGCTATTGCTTCACCTATTAAAGGGAAGGTGGGATTAGATCAGGTCTTCAACCTGTGTTCCTCAGAGGTCCAGGATCCCAGTGATAGGGGCTTCTACTTTCTTTCACGCTGCTCTACTTACATATTAAATTCCTTTGTAGGCTTTCACTAGACAAAGGAGTATCACTCACTTAAAAGAAAATAAAAAGCTACAGCCCCCCTATATCAGAAGGGATCCGAGGTCCCTCTGCCTGCAATCCATCATGACATCAGAGTGGAAGATGAAACGTCAAAGTGTGTGAACTGGACAACTTACACTGTCCGTGCTCCCCCCAGCCGTGGGGGGGCCTCTGCCAGCTCTCGGAGGCAGCACAGTCTTCATGGGGTCTGCCTTCCCGTTATGACATGTCCGGGATCGATCCGAGCTCCACAGCTCAAAGCTGGAAGGGGGCAAGAAAGGGGGGATGACTGCCTTCAGCTTGTCGCTCGGGAGTCTGGTGAAGGGGGCTCCATTTCGAAGCTGAAAAAGACAGGCTGTGGGTTAGGCCAGCCCCAGGAGGGCTCCTGGCTCTGGGAGGAAGACTCCAGGTCTCTCCTGCTTCTCAGAGAATGGCAGCACCCCCGAGCCCCACCCCCCACCACAGCCAAGCCAGAAACCCACGTGATGTCCTCAGCTCTCCTCCCAGCAACCGAGGGATACCCACGTCTGCTCCGCTCCACGCCTCCAGGTTCTCCTGGGTCTGTACACAGCAACGAGACTGGCACGGGGGAGGGACTGCGGAGAGCCACGAGGGGAGCCGAGAAGCGCTGGGCGTGCTGGGCCAGGAAAGGGCCCTGCAGACCAAGGGAAGGCAATGCAGGAAGGACTGGAGACAAGAGGAGCAAGACCAGCGCGCAGAGCTGCAAGGAGGCGGGCGTGGCCGGAGCCGGGGTTCCAGGAGGACGGGATGAGGGCACCGGCAGGCCCAGGCTGGCTCTGCAAGCCCAGCAGACACCCCCAACCGCGCCCCACCACCTCCTTCCTGCTCGAGCCACACCTCCCACTGCTGACATTTTTAACTGCAATTTTAAGTTTTGAAAATGCGATTTGGGGTCAGTATAAAATCCACACCATGATGACTGGTGGATCGTCAAGGAAAAGCTTTCACATGGTCCACAGTAACTTTAATTAAGAAAAGACAGCGAACCTGGCGCCAGATGGTGCTTTGCAGGGAAGGGCATCCCACAGCTAAACCTGCCTCGGGAGCCGTGCAGGCGGGCATCTCCGCGAGGAGGGCTGCAAACGCCTCCTCGGCAGAGCGCCCTGGCCATCCTCCATCTGCCACGGGGCAGGGGGGCACACCGCCGCCCCCTACAGGGCTTAAGGAGGCGGGACAAGAGAGAACAAGGCGGGAAGTGGTGCCTCCCGGGTTCCCACCGGGAACTGCTGGGCCTCTCAGAAAGCAGGCACTGTCCTGCTTTTCTGAGAGTCTGTGAACAAGGGTCGACCCCTCTGGACCTCAACAACCTCATCTGCATAAGGATAATTCATCAGAGCTGTGAAAACAAAAACCAGGAACCCCAAAGTCCCGCAGGTCAGTCTTGGATAAAGAGATGATGGAATGTTACATCACTTAGTCATTGGACACAATGGGGCCAAAGGGTGTTTCTGACACAGAAAAGATGGTCATGCCAAACTGTTAATACGGGAGCTTCAGCACAATGGGGGAAGATCCCAGGGCATCACCGACTCAGTGGACGTGAACTTGGGCAAGCTCTGAGATAGTGAAGAGTAGGGAGGGCTGGCATGTCAGTCCACGGGGTCACAGAGCCGGACATGACTTAGCGACTCAACAACAGTGCCTGGCCTGGCATGGTTTTTTGGGATAAAAGTGAGTGAATATATGTAAACTGCAGCAAACACTTAATAAGCATTGGGCTGGTACATATTTAGTGCTGTGCTAAATATTATTATATATATAGCATGATATCATATTCATAGATACAAATGATTAGGAAAAACACTCAAAAGATATATGCCACAAAATGTCAACCATGATTATATCTGGATGTGTGACCAAGGGCAATTTTTTCTTTACACTTTACTGCATCTTCCAAAAATTCAGTAAGAGTATTTCTGTCTACATACTGAAAGCAATTATTGCTATTTATTAACATTATCAAACGTTGCAAGTCCCACGGTCAGTGGGTAGACACCAGTTTATACCTATCTCACAGCAGGGCAGAGCACACAGACCCCATAAGGGTCCCAAACATCCTGAGGGCAGCTTAGCTCTGTGGGGGAACCTCTGCTCCCATCTTCTCTCCAACACTGCCCTCTCCTGGCCAGCCTGCAGACTAGGGCCTCAGAGTTAAAGGGACTTAGCCGAACTCCAACCAGGAGACTCTCATTTCAGAGAAATGAAGCCCAGAGAAGTGATGTAACACATCCAAGGTCACACAGCAGACAAATAAGAGTTCACTCTGGGTCAGAGGTTATGTTAAGATATTCCTGGGGATGATACTTAAAAACGACAACCATGAGGGATAGCATCTCCTACGTAAGAGAAGGCTAGCTATTGCCTAACATCCATCCTCCTTATCTCCCTCGCAGACACGCCTGACAGATGAGCACGTTGGAACAAAGACTTCTATGCAGTGTGAATGGGCCATGTGACTAAATTCTGGCACATTTAATGTAAGCAAAAAATGATGTGTGAATTTCCAGGAAACTTCTTTACAGACACCTGGCCTGTGCCCATGGCCACCTCTTCCCCAGTCATCTTTGGGGTCAGCTGGAATGAAGCAGTAATGGATGGAGCTCTGGCAGCCACCTTAGACCAAGAAGTAACCTTGGTAGTAGAAGCCATGCCAGGGTGATCAACAGGTAAAAGGAACCTAGGTCCCTAATTCCATAGATCAATGAACCAGTCTTGAACTTCACTTACTTGAGAGAAATATGATCCTATCAAATTTATGCCAATCATTTGGGGATTTTGTTACTTAGCTGAACCTAAAATTAATACATCTCTAATTTATAGATGAGGACACTGAGGCCTCTCTCAAGCTGGAAACAGACCCTCTTCTTTGACTCCTCTCCTTGGCTCTCCAAAACCAAAACGGTTAAGTCCAATGTCACCATCAGTTCCTACCCCGACACGGCCCCTGTTCTCAGCGCTACGTCCGTGATGACGTGATCAGGGCTTAGCCCTGGCTGCTAAGCAGCAGCACAGCCTTATCCAGAATTTAGGGCTGGCATCTATTCTGATTCCTTGGTGCCAGAGATATACCCATTGCTACACATTTTGACATCGACCCCATCCGTAACCACCACAAAGAAAGACAAATGTGCCCACATCCCTCCTCATACATCAATCCACTAATGACTGGAAGAGACCTGAAATGCTTTGAGAAAAGCCCCACACTCACCATGGTTGTCAGTAACGCATCTTCCTTTTCTCCTCTTGTGTTCCCAGTACCTGAGAAACAAATGGAAGTTTCCTGAGATGACCCCCTCCCCCAACCATAATGGGTCCACAGCGTGAGGACAAGTGACCAGGTCAGCCTTCATCCTGGAAAACCAACTCTCTTGGGTGACTAAATATTTAATAATAATTGGTATTCAATATTTGAAGAGAAAGGAAGCATTTAAAAGGTATCTTAGAGTGTGTTTGCAGCTTTTCCATAAACCATTGTCATGCTGGGTCAGACAGTGGTATGTTGAGCTCAACAGTCTGTCTCAAACAGTGGTACCCAAGGAACTAGTCTGGGTGTAGAGAGTCAGACTGTTAGAATGGATCTGACCTAATCAGTTTTCCAGTGTGGGAATCTTCAGTGCCCTGGCAAAGTCATGCAAGCTGTTGAATACTTTCAGTGGTGGGGAGCTCACTACCCCCACGCCAACCCCAGAAACTCACTCTACTTCAAAACACTGCTGGTGGGTGCAGACCAATCACATGTGGCAAGTGGGAAAATCACCTGTCGTAGTCAAGGGAGAGACAGGGACTGGCCAAAGGTTTCCCAGCAGGGCACGCAGGGCAGGAAGCTGGGGCTTGCTGCCAGCCTCCCTTTCTACCCTCAGCAGCCGGTCCCTCAGATGGACTTCTGTCCCTAAGTCCTCACCAAACTGGCCACTCTGCACCAGCGTCACATCCCATCAGCCCCGGAGGGAGGACGAAGGGCAAAGGAAGACAGCAAAAAGCTTCAGGCTTTGCCCGTTCTGGAAATTCTCCCGCATGTGCAACTTCTTCTCACCGTTGTCTCTGGTCATGGGGGCCACATCGGGGAGCCCAGAGCGGCTGGTCTTGTCCAGGGGTGCCGCCCTCATCGTGGAGTCCAGCGCTGGCTCTGGCTCATCACAGAAAGGCAACGGTTGGTTGCTGGACAGCCCACGCGGCAACGTCTGCATCAGTTTCAGCTTCCGGAACCGATTGGACATGCGGTTCCACCAGGACTGCCAAGGGAATGCAGAGCAGCGGTCAAGCCCCACAGTACGGAGCCCAGGGAGAGCAACCACACTCTGCACGAGCCCCCTCCCCTCTCCCGGGCCCACTGCGGGCGTTACCATCGACCACAGGACCCTTAGTTCTCTCTAAACCCTTCCTGACCCAGCCCGCGGGGGTCCTTCCCAATAGCCTGGAGGTGGCAGGGAACCCAATTTGCTAAGGCTCTCCAGCCATCTCCTCATTGCACAGTCTGAGAGAGACCCAGCGATGTCAACTTGCTGGACATCCTAGGGTCAAACAGGGACGGACAGATGGACACAGGCAACGCCAAACACCTTAACATCTCAGACTGCGTTACCCCTTTCCCCCATTCCAGTAACAACGTGAGAGCTATCAGGCTGTCCAGTCCAAGGCCTGGGCCATCTGCTCCTGCAGCTGACGCCTCTTCACCTAGAGAGAGGACAGGTGCCACCCCCAGGGCATCTACACAAGCCCACGAGAGCTCAGAGGCGACTGGCAGGGCACCAGACGGAGGCTGCAAGGCCTGGCCTAGAGACGGCAGTGAGGCAAGGATGACGAGATCTATGCGAGCAGCGCCGGGAGGAAGGATCCAGGGCCTCGGGTGAGCAACAGACATGAGCAGAATGCCAAGTCCGCAGATCGGAGAAAGTGCTGGAACCCCAGCCAGGAAAAGGGAAAAAATAATTCTGATTTTCAACAAGCAGAGCAGGGCTGGGAGGATAAGACATTCAAAGAGAAACATTCAACTTGCAGTTTAGAAATCAGCAGCTGGAGCTCGGTTCTGTTGCTTCCAGTGGCAGCTGATGGGGGCCTGTGGACCGCAGAAAGGCCCTAGAATGTGCAGTCAGCAAATACTGTCCACGCTGAAGCACAGGCCAGACAGATGGCCAGGGAGGAGAGCTGTTCGAGGCTAGCCAGCTCAGCAGTGCATCATGCAAAAAATGTTAACCATTCTCTACATTCAGAAACTGCGTCTCTGCATCAACATCTGGGTTTTTAGTTTCTCCTGAAAACGACGGGAAGAGGTAGCAACGTGGACCTACACACTTGCAAGCAGCCGCTAACTGGCCACCATCAGCTCCGTTTTCCCTGGTCACCTCCAATCCCCACTGCTCACCTCCAGTTCACTTCCTGCCCCGGCTGTTAACCCTGCTTGTTACCCTGTCCTGAAGCAGCTCTGGGTAATGAGGAGGTGGCCAGCACCTTCCTGCTTCACGATTCGGGCACGGCTCTCTGACACCTTGTAAGACAGCAAAGGGCAAACCTTGAGTCCGCCTTTGTCATCAGGCAGCACAGGGACACTCCAGGGCTGTCGAACCTTCGAGTGGGGCAGAGGCGGCGGGTGGCTGGGCCGGCCTTTGTCTTTATTCACCTGCATGCAGACAGATGCCAGCAGTCGAACAAGTTCCGTGTCTATGGACACAAAAGGCAGCCTTTTACCTGCAAATATGACTGCTAGGCCATGGGGGACTGGGGAGGGGTCTCAAGACGACCCCCAGCAGCCTGAGAACTCAGTCCCGCAGGGCCAGAGCCTGTGTTACTCCAGGATCAAGCTGCCCCTGCCCCTCCAGTGGCTCTTCAGGAGGGGCAAACGTGACAGCAGGGTTTAATCCACTTAAACAGAAACAAAAGCCAGATGCCCTGTCCTACCAGGAGGGCAGCGGGCGGAGTGTATAGAGAGTAGAGGCTCTATAGCCGGATGACTGCAGTTGGAACTCTCTGCTCTTCCCAGGCTGTGTAACTGCAGGTCAATTAAGGGCGACCGTACCCACCACATAAAGGTGTCTGACGGATCTGAGGGCGTTCCTAACATGTGGTAAGTGCTTAAGAAAGATCAAGTGGTATTAGTTATTATTAACTCAACTAGGCTAGTAAAAAAGCAACAAGCAAGATTGAGAAGAAAATACTACAAACTATGAATATGCTTTTCTCTTGACTGTTGCTTTTTTTTTTTCCCTCCAGCATGTGTCTCTTGGAAAATTTTGGGCAAAAAATTAAATAAATAAATAAGAAAATTTTGGGCAAAAATTTCATTTGAAAACCCACTAGGAAAAAAATCCACTGAGGTAGGTTGTTTTATTGGGAAAGGCAGTGAGGGAGAATGCAGGGAAGGAAGAGACACAGTGGAAGAGATGAGGCTGGCAGAGAAAAGCCTGTGTGCGATGCAGTCCAGGGTCCCCAGCAGACTGCACGCAAGGAGTGAGACCATCGGACCTGGGTGGAGGGCCCCACCTCTCCAGCCAGGGTCAGTCACTGCTGGGCACATCCTCTCTGCAAGGATAAGACGCAACCAGCATGGATCTGTGACAAGGGGGTGTCACGGGAGTGGAGGTGAGGGGGTGGCGGTGCTGGAGGTGAGGAAGGGCACTTGACCTGCGGCCCCCACACTGAGAGAGGCAGCGTGAGCCCCTCCACTCATGGAGGCAGAATCCCCCCGTGCCCGAGTCAGCAGGGGAGGATCCAGCTCAGGACTCAGAGCCTGTGGGTCCCAAAAGAGATGACAGGTGGTAGAGAGACCCCTTATCCCTTGAGTTAGCTAGTGAGGAGCCACAGCTACAGAGGAAGGTCTGTCAAAGTGGCAGAAGGTCCGAGGGCCTAGCAGGTGCTAACTGGGGGTCAGCAGTGTTGCCAAGACCTTGACCCGGAGCTTCCACCGACACCAGAAGCCAAGGCGGTCACTGCTCCATCTGATCTCCCTGTCCCTGGGGGCCTGTTTCTTCCTGAGTCATGCAGGGTCTAGCTGAGAGGCACAGATACCATTCCAGGATTTGTGTGGACGGCCAAGGCCTTCCTGCCTGGAGACTCCTGAAGGCTGGAGCCAGAAGTGGCCTCAGGGACTAGCTGGTCCCAGCTGCGCCCATTCTCCCCCGCGGCCTTCACTCGGGAGCAGTGAAGACCTGCCTGAGGCTGTGTGGGGTGCTCTGGGGGCTGCAGAGTGGCTTCCGCCTTGAATAAGCAAGTGCTCGCACACAGGGGATGCTCTGGATTCCCAGCCAGAAAGCCCAGCGCCGCTAAAACGCTTTTCCTAAAACGACCCACCAGGATCGCTCAGCAGCATCACCAGGTCAAAGGCCGTGTACCCGTTTTTCGCACGGAGAGTGACGTCAGCGCCCTGCTGCAGCAGATACTTGACGATCTCTCTGTTCCTGTGGGAGAAAGAGAGAGCCAGCGTGAGACCCGCCGGGAGGGCCAGCGTGGCCGTGCTCCGGGCCACAAGAGCGGGGGCTGTGACCCCAGCAGCATCTGCGTCTGTGACAGGGGGCGCAGAAAGCTGTCTCCCAGCCCCTGCTCCCGACCCTGCGGGCAGTCACGACAGAAGCCAAAGCCTGAGCGCTCCTTCCGCGAACAAAGCGAAAACACAAGTCTCTGCCCCAAAGCCACTGGCTCCCAGCACCACACACAGGCCGCACCCCTCCTGCCCCTCACTGGGACCTGACTGAAATCCTCTGGCAGGCCAGAGTCTTTGATGTGGAAGTCTGAGGGTCCAATGAGGACGAGAACCACTTTCAGAGGACACAGGAGAGTGCTCTGATCACCTCAAGCGGGGCAAGGGCGGGGCCCCTAATTTGGAATCAGATCACCACCGAGCAGGTGCAAGGCTATATGCAGACCCCTGCCCCTGGGTCAGCCTGCCCCAAGGAGGAGGCATCCAGGAAGGTAGAGGGGTGACTGGATGAGAAGGGATGCGGAAGCACCAGGTACCACCGCCGAGGCAACAGGAAATCTGGACACAAAGGGGAGGACCTCAGGACGGACCAAGCCTGCATCGTTCTGAGTGTCTCAGCATCTTCACAATGGGCGGGGCGCTTCTCTGCAGCGCCTCAGGACCAGCACCCCATCAGGCACCCTCTCAGGCTCCCTGCTGAGGGCTGGGGCTGGCGCTGACCCGTGGTAGGTCGCCTGCATGAGGGCCGTCCAGCCGTGCGCACTGTCCTGCTTGTCCACGTCGGCATGCCTCTCCACCAGCAGCTGCACCAGAGGCAGCTGTCCCATGACCGCCGCCAGCATCAGCGGGGTGGCCCCATCCCCGTTAACCAGGTTCACATGGTTGGGGTCTTCATCAGCAATCTCTTTGACCAGCTGGAAGTTTCCTGCCAACAGAAGCAAAAGTCCTGGTGAGCCACGGGCCTGGCACCGCAGGATGATTTACCCAATGGTTTCCCGTAACAAATGTGCTGAGCCGGCCTCTGTACTGGGTGGCTGGGCCTCGCAGGGGCTACAAAGATGAGCCAGAGGTAGCCCCCACTCTCCACTCCTTCAGTCTACGAGGGATGGAGGCAAGCACGCAAATAGGTTTACTGAGAGGGAGAAGCGTTACTGATATCTTAAAAGAACAGTGATGACGAGGGGCAATGCACATGCAGAAAGACAGCCCAGGTCTCCCTCAGAGGTGAGGATCAGGGTGGGCTTCCTGGAAGTGGAGGTTTGTTTCAGGAGAGGCAATACTAGACTAAATAGCTCTTCATTACAAAGAGTGGACTAGGTAGGTGGGCAGCCAGGCCTTTCGGAGGGAAGTAAAAGTTAGGACATAGCACAGGGTCTAGCAGGAGAGGCAGAGGGGGCCTGAGAAAATAACCTGGAAGTTGTGTGCAAAGCACCATAACTACCAGCCTCCAGGGTCTGAACCTCCCCAGGTGGAACCAGAGTCAGGAAACAACAAAACACTTGCTTCTTTCTCAAATACTCTGGGCGGCCTTGAAAAGGACTATCAATATGAGTTTGGGAAAACAGTACTGTATTCTTAAATATCCCAAAAGGTTTTCTAAAGTGCTTACCCATTTTTAATGCGTGGAAAATATCAGGTCGCCTTTTCTCCTCATCTGGGTAAACAAAGATTTTTAAAAGTTAACCACGGTAAGGTGTAAAATAACAGAAAAGTCACAGGGTGTAATGACCCAGCCTACCTTTAAAAATGATTTACTTTTCATAAGCAGTCTAGTCAGAGACCGAGGGAACGGACTAACTCCAGCAGCCCTTCTGGAAGGGCTGTCGTCAGGCTGTCTGAACACGCCTCAGAGATAGACCGTGGGAGGTCATCTGGCCAGGAGAACATGAATGAGCAGACCATTTCCGGATCCCACACCTCATACAGCGGTCTTTTTTTAGGCATTCCAAATTTTGGAATGTCCTTTCTCAGACATAACGGAAAAGTATAGTCTTGGAAAAATCTGTATTCCTATGAAGATTTTAAGGAGAAACAATGATTCTGTTATTCTAAAAAGTAAATGTACAACCATGAAGTAATTTCAAGGCAGGTTTTCGTTCTCATACCTAAGACACTGGGCAGCTGAGCCCAGAGGAGGTCACGGCTGCCAATGCTAATATTCGCTTTCTCTCCCAAATAAGCAGCCATGAGTGATTCTGAAGGTCACCCACGACCCAGACCTGCAGATGCTCCCATCTGATGCCTTCATGCTGGGCCTCACTGCACCCACCCCATGCTAGCCCCTTCCTCATCTGCCATCACCTTCCTTGAAGCTAGAGCTAGTGGGTAACCTGCTCCCTCCTGTCAGAAAGTAGCCATCCTCACAACTAGTCTTCTCGCTGGTGAGAGCGAATGCAGGACTTCCTCTGACTAATACCAGAGGATAGAGCAGCCACAGGAGAAAACCTGTGACTCTGGGCCACATCCCTGGTCTTGAGCATCCTCCACCAGCAGCCGGAAGAAGGTGCAGAGTGGCACAAGGAGTCTGGACCGGGTATCCGGATCCACGTATTTCCAGAGAGATGTGTCTCCTCATCACTGATGATGCAGACAACATGCTAACAGGGAGGCCAGGTGGTGGTTGCAGGGGTGGATAATACAGACGGGAAAATGCTCCAGAAATTTTTAAGCTCTACACAAACAGCTTCCCGCATAGCTCAGTTGGTAAATCATCTGCCTGCAATGCAGGAGTGAAAGTGAAAGTGAAGTCACTTGGCCGTATCCGACTCTTTGCGACCCTGTGGACTGTAGCCCACCAGGCTCCTCCGTCCATGGGATTCTCCAGGCAAGAGTACTGGAGTGGGTCGCCATTTCCTTCTCCAGGGGATCTTCCTGACCCAGGGATCAAACCCGGGTCTCCTGCATTGGAGGCAGATGCTTTAACCTCTGAGCCACCGGGAAGCCAATGCAGGAGACCCAGGTTCAGTTCCTGGGCCGGGAAGATCCCCTGGAGAAGGAAATGGCAGCCCACTCCAGTGTTCTTGCCTGGAGAATCCCAGGGACGGGGGAGCCTGACAGGCTACAGTCCATCGGACGGCAAGAGTCAGACACGACGGAGCGACCAGACCACCACCACCACACAAGCAGCAGTTTCTGTTATCTTTTCTAGTGACCAGCACCCGCCCAGAAAGGGTACTAGTTAACTCCAGGGCGCTTATAGGAAAGTATAGACAGGGCCATGGAACCAAGCGCCTAGTTCTGCCTTTGAGATACTACAAAGAAATGATTATGAAACTTCATTTTAAAAAATATGTCTCATTCCTTTAAGTGTTTAAGAGTCGAATTTGCTATAGGCCACAGCCTCCTTCATGCCAAGACTCTTCCACGGAAAAGAATGTGTCAACTGGGCCTAGCATTGGTTGCTAAGCAACCATCTGGTACAAACGAATCACTGACAGTCTAGCCTGACCTCAGGAGGCTGGAGCAGCTATGCTTGATGCCCACTGGCCCTGGGCTGGTCCCTTCCTCACACTGGGCTCCAATTATTGCATCAACATCAGGGCAACTCCAGGGACCCCTCCACAGCCCAGGGAATGACCGCAGTGGGGGTGAGGAGGGTGTCACAGTGACAAGGGTGCCCTGTCCTGCGGCTAGTGAGAGAGAGAGCTGGCAGTCTCCAAGGCCCTGACGGGGGCGGGGGGTGGGTTCCCTAGCACCTCACAAAAAGAGCTGGGGCCAACTACTATCTGCTTAATAATCTGTCACCACTAGTAACATGGCCTTTGAAGGCTCTTCTCTGCGAGCCTGAATGGCGCCCCTTCTCAGCTCCTGCAACTCGGCTGAACTCTCCGCTCCTCTTGGGGGCCGCCCAACGGCCCTGCTTCATATGGAGGCCGGCCCCACCCAGTCCTCCACAGCTCCCAAATCCCCCACCTCGCCCGTTTCCTCCCTCACCACAGTACTCACCACCTACCGTGCTATGTGACTTATTTAACACGCTTATTTCTGTTTCTTGCCTGCCTCTCCTCCAGAAGCCAAGGTCCCCAAGGGCAGAGGTTGGATCGGGTTTGTTGACTGGTGCCTAGAATGGCACCTGGTACACTGGCAGTCAACGAATACGTGCAGAATACTGGAATGAACGAACGGGGAATACAAATCCATTCTGGTAGCTTCTGCTCACTGCTCTCTATGAGTCAGGCTCCGGGGTACTCCGCAGTACAACCGGCATTATCGTCCTACTGCTCATAGGACCTCACAAGCCAAGTGCATTCGTTACGGCTGTTTTGTGAAAGAGGACATTGGAGTCCTAGAGAGACAATGAACATGCCGAGGCCTCCCAGCCCCAAAGTGAGAGCTGAGCCTCAAACCCGTGTCTGCTCGACAGGGAGGTCTGCTCGTGACCGTGACCCGGTCCTGTCAACATGACAGTGATGATGACAGGTGAGGGCAGCTGCCAGCATCTCTCACGTGCTCTCTCTGAGCTGGGGGGACCTCACTTGATCCTCACTGTGGTTCTGTGAGGCAGGGGGACTTCTGCCTCTCACTTATGGGAGACAAAACAGAAGCTTGGAGAATGAAGGCAACTGGTCCAGGGTCCCTCAGCCAGCACGGGCAAGGCCAGGTGGAGCCAGGTAGAGGGTGACCTTGGCTATGCCCACCTCTGTGTCTGCAGCTCCACGTTTTGAGGAGAGGAGGGCACTGCTTCCCCAGAGTGCCAGGGCAGTCCATAAGGAGGCCTGTGGGGAGCTAAGACCCCAGAAACCCGGCGGGAGGCATCTGAGGAAGGAGCAATCAGCTGCACAAGAGGCCCAGCTCGGCACCCATAGGTGGGGCACACGTTCCCGACCAGCCACTTCTAGGGCAGCGGCCTCGAGCCGGTTGCTTGACCCCCGCCCCGAGCCTGACCTCCCTCACCTGCAGCATGGATGAACGCCCCCACGGGGGAAGTGAGAACCTGCCCATCAGGCGTGGAGGCACAGCAGGGACGGGAGGAGGCAGCTCCCTTTCCCATCTCGGCCATAGTCACACCACCCAAGCCTTTAAGGGAGGGCAGTGGCCTTGAGTCAAGAACACCATGGGTGGGACCGGAGCCCTGACTTCTAACTGCAGCTCTGCCCGGGACCTGACGCCGAACTGCCGCTTGCTAAACTGCCCGAGGGCTCCCACACCAGAGGCCAGCTTGTTTTCTGCTCGTGGCCACCTGGGAGTTGTCACTGATCCATTCTACACAAGCGACACAGGGAGGCTAAGAGAGAGTTACAAGCGTGTCCAGATCCCAGAAGCCCCACAAAGGCTAGAGCTGGGAGGGGTCACATCCCCGTGCCCTTCCCACGGAACCCCCCACCTTCCAAGGGTCACACAGCTTCCAACAGTGTGTGACCTGCGGCCAGCCTCTACTCCTCTCTGGCCCTCACTGTCCCCATCCGCACAAAGGAGAGAGGTCTCCCGGCTTCAGGCAGGCTTTCTTAGACTTTCCCTCTTTTTCCCTTTTGTTCTGCTGTTCCCTTCATTTCTGCCATCTCTCTGTGGTTACACGGTTTTACAACATGCTTATTTCAGAGCTTTCTGACCAGACAGTGTATTTCTAATAAGCGTTTCTCAAATTTGCAACATCTTTTGATTGATGGGTCTTTTTTTTTTTTAATGGGTCACTTGAATTTTTTCTAAGTTGAAGTGTAGTTGATTTACAATTTCATTGACGGGACTATTTGCGTATTCTCTGGATGGTATCAAACTTTGCAATACTTTCAAAGTATTTTCAGCCAGTTTGTCTGAAGACCTTTTCTTCCAATTTTTACCTTTCAGCTTTAAATGCTCACATGCTGCAGCCTGGCCTTACAGCCCGGGCTATCTCAGGAAAGACGCAGAAGTCAGACCCATTGCTGAGGACACTGCGGCTGTGCAACTCTACATTACATGATTCTGTTACACATGATGAACTAGGGGTTTTGAAACATGGTATGGTCTGTGACAGATTTGCTAAGGATTGCTTAGACAGCTATTTATATGCCAGAAAGATGGCAAAAAGAACAAAGAACCAGGATACACTAATAGATGTTGAAAAAACACAACTCAAAAGTAGGCTGAATTTTCTGTGAATTAGTCTTTGGGGACTGGTCATCGGCAGCTGAGGTTAGGCACAGTGCCCTAAGAGCGGAGGTTGCCAAACCTGCCCGACGCCTGTTTTCAGAATTAGAGTTTCCTGGCACACAGCCCCACCCACCCCTGACATATCACGTAGGCTGCTGCTCCTCCAGCAAAGCTGAGGAGTTACAACAGACTGCATGACCCACAAAGCCTAAAATGTTTGTTATCTGGTCCTTCTCAGAAGAAGTTTGCTGACCGCTTTCTAGAAGGGCCCCAGAACCTCCTACACCAGAATCTTCTGGTTAGGAGGGACAGGCCTGGCTGTGCAGGAGTCCAGGCCCTTCCGAGAGCTACAGATCACCCCCTGGAGGTTGGGCCGGGCCCCTGCTTAAGTGCCCCTGCCCCGCGGGCTGGACTGATTTCTGCAGGCCCTTGTGTCTGGGCAACTCTTGGCTTTTGCTGTTTAGACACAAGCCGGGGTCCTCTGGGAAGCCGCGGCGGGGCCCGCGGGTGGGTTAGTGGCGGCGCAGCCTGACCTGTCTTGGGTCTGACGGTGGTCAGTGGGTCCAGGTAGTCTGCAAGGTCCCTGTGCTTGCGGTCAAGTGCCACCTCGAAGGCAGTCTTCTCCAGCACACTGAGGTGGTCGGGGTTGGCCCCCTTCTCCACTAGCTGCTGGGCCAGGCCAAGCCTCCCGATGAGTGCTGAGAGCATCAACGGGCTCCAGCCCACAGTCCGGGCCTCGTGGTTGGGGTCGGCGCCCCACTCCATCAGCAGACGCACCACAGCCTCGTGGCCATGCTGGATAGCAGCCATCAGGGCCGTGATATCCAGCAGTTCGTCCCCGCCGTCCCCATCGCCTGAGGGTTTGTGATGGTCCACGAAGGCACCAGCTTCCAGGAGCAGCTTCACCACGCCCAGGTGTCCACCCCGAGAGGCCACGGTGAGCACACTGGCCCCCAGGCGGTTCTGGGCATTGACATCAGCCCCGTGATCCAAAAGAAGATGTGCCACGCTCACGTGCCCAAATCTGCCAGGGAGATGGACAATTAGTGACACAAGACACCTGATGAGGAGAAAGCTCATGTAATCACCTAATTATAAATTGTTAGGGCTTCCCTGGTAGCTCAGTCGATAAAGAATATTCCTGCAATGCAGGAGACCTGGGTTCTATCCCGGCACTGGAAAGATTCCCCTGGAGGAGAGCATGGCAACCCACTCTAGTATTCTTGCCTGGAGAATCCCCATGGACAGAGAAGCCTGGCAGGATGCAGCACATGGGGTCGCAAAGGGTTGGACATGACTGAGTGACTAAGCACATCAATTGTTAAATTATTAATCACTGAATCATTAATTTTTAACATAGTAATAGCTGCTTATAATAAAAGGCGCTCCTCTGGTGCCAGGCACTGCCCTGGCCAGTTCCAAACCCAGCTCTGCCATCCGCTGCATCTCCTGGGGAAAGAATTTCGGCTTCTCTGTGCCTTCACGTCCTCATCTCTAAAGTGGGGATATGACTGTACCTACTAAAAGAGCTGTGGACAATTAAATGAGTTAATATATATAAATATATAATATATATAAAGCACTGAGAACAGTGCTTGTCCAAAGGAAAACTAATAAATGTCAGCTATTAGAATGGTAGTCGTTTAAACATTTTTACATCACACCACGTGCCAAGGTCACCCAGCTGGTGAGCGACATCCACAGGGTCAGAACCGCAGTCGCCTGAATCCTGCTGCCCACACCCCGCTGCTGCCTGCGCGGCAGAGTTCATGCTTCAGAGCTGGGTAAGCTGCCTCTCCGCCTGTGCCCTCATTCCCCAGGGGCAGGGCCCACGTCTGACTCACATCTCCCCTCCCCAGCCCCAAACACACACGCAGAAAGTCCACAGACCCCATGCCAAGAGGCGGGGCAGAGCTGCGGTCAGCAGAGGCGGGCCGGGGCTCCTGGCCCCAGAGGCCTGGTGCCCCCTGCTGGCTGGAATGTCCCCTGCTGGCGGCTGAGGATCTGGTCTGGGCCAGACCCTCTCCAGGGAAACTGGAGCGACCTCCCCTACCGGGGAGACAGACAAGTACCCACCAACTCTGATACCAGGAAGAGGGAAACAGACCCCTCTTCCCAGGAAACGCTCTTCCTCCTCGTGCCACCAGAGGGCAGAAGAGTGCTGTTTTGCAGCATTTGAGGCTGGTGCACTCCTGGGCTCCGAGCTGGAAGGAGCCTTGGACTAAACCCGGAATGAACAGGGGAGGAGCCCCGGGCCAGGTTTTAGAAGACCGTGACGTCGGCAGGAGGCCTGCATCTGGGAGGCAGCTTTCCACTGAATCCCTGGTGGCGCTCCCTCCTTTCCGGAAGCGGTTTTGTCTCTCATCTAAACCCAGGGCCTCCCTCCTCCCAGCCGAGGCAGGGCCAAGGCTGAACAACGTTCTGAACTTACAAATACCTTCTGCGCCGTGAACCTTAACAGCACCGGGTCACCCCACCTGCAGAGTGCGGAGGGAGTGCTTGGTGGACTGGCTCCCCCAGCTGCAGGGGGGCCAGGCCTGTCCCGCCCCTTCTCCAAGAGTGGACAGAATCTGGCAAAGAGGCAGAGAGCTGTAACCCCAGCCTGTCTCCCTGCCTGTCCTTCACAATGATATTCTCCAAACCTAAATCTCACGGCTACTGCCCATGTCCCACTGCCTGGAAAGGACTGCCGACTTTGTCAACCTCATTTCTTCCCAAGTCCCACGCTGTACTCCGGCCGTGCTCACCTGCCCGCGGCAATTATTCTCTGCCATCCTGCCTTTCTGACCCTCCTGTCCTTACTGACTAAGCACATCCTTGATCCTGCTGCAGGACTCAGTTCAGATCCCACCTCCTCTGAGCAGCTTCCACATGGTGCCCCCACATCAGCTCAGGCGCGCCTCACCTGGAAACCCACAAGCCCCTGTCTTCACCCTTACTGATGCGCCTGGGCCCTCCTCCTATAGTTGCGTCTTCCTGTTAGACTGTGCACGTCAGCAGGGCTCGGGCCGCTCTGTCAAATGAATGAGTGAGCGAACACTTGGAATAACCAAAGAGGATGGTCAAAAGGCAACAGAGATAGCTGAAGAACTGAGTAGATAACTACACAAGATTACACTATTTAGTCATCAAGCATGAGATAAAAATCTAGCAGCAGATAACAAGATACTGTCCTGTTTTTATCAATTGGATCTCAGTAAACCCCGAGATAAACTGCTAATAATGTATTTCACAGATGAGGAATCTGAAGATTACACCGGAAAGCAATAATCCAGAATCTCTCAATTTGGAAGTGATAGAGTCAAAACTTGAACCTAGACCCTAAGATCTGAAACTCCAGTTCTCCTGGCATAACAAACTCACAGAGGAAGGAAAGGCCTAAACCTGAGCGGGAATGCTGACACTCGGAATGCTTTCTGAATTCAGGAGTGGCCCAAGAGGCCCCTGAAAATTAGGCTGAAAATATAAAAAATGATTCAACGAAGGCTGAGATAATTTGGGGGATGCTAGCTTTCTAATTGGTAATTACTGCAGATAGGGAAGCTCCGGGCTTTCTGAGCAGCTGTTCCGATAACCAATTAATTTCAGCAATTAACACCTGTGTTGAAAGACCTGGCATACACCCCCACTCTCAGAGAGCCCTGGGCGGAGAGGCCAGCCCCGCCACGCTGGCAGGCAGAGAAGTGAAGGGCAAGAGAAGGGAAGTAAGGAAGTCAAAGGTAAAATTGGAACCAAAATAAACACCACACAACCTGTCCCTTTAGTGTTAAGCAAACTTGGTGAATGGCTTCCTTGTGGCCAATACCAAGAGGAAAATAGTGAGTTACGGGACTCACAGCTGGGGGCACAGGCTCTGGCGCACCTGCCTACTTATGAATCTGACTCTGTGCCTTCATAGCTGTGTGGCCTTGGACAAGTGAACTAACTTCTCTGAGCCTCAATTCTTTATCTGTAAAATGGGGAAGACAGCAGTAGTGCTTCCTCATATTTTGCGTAGATTGAATGAATTAACTCATTTGCATCACTTAGCACAGAGCTTGACACAAAATAAGTACTCTAAAGGTTATTTTAAGAACAGGAAAAAAAAAAAAAAAACATGAATGACACCATCTCTGATGCCGAAACATTCACAAGAGACCCAGCTGCAGTCCAGGCACAGGGTCTCTGGTGGTCCCGATCCAATGATGAGCTCGGGAACACAGAGAGCTGTGACGATAAAAAGATGCTCACTTAGTTCAAAGTGGTGGCTGCTGGGAGCACCATCTCTGAGGCACGTCTACTTTCACGGAGGAAAAGCACAAGACTGGAATGTGTCAGCACACAGCCATGCGCTTGGCCGTCCTGATCTAAGGGAGCCACCATGGGACACACACAACCAAACAGTCATTTCAGAAAGATCTGGAAGCTCTACAGAGGAGGGACTGCAGAAGGCACACTTGGAAGAAGAGAGAGCAGTAGGAAGCCACTTATAAATGTGTGCCCTGGACTAAGACAGAGGGGAAGGAGAGACAGGATGGCACGGACAGGTCCTGGAATGAGCACTTACCTGGAGTTTTAAAGCCTGGAGAGTGGATGGGGCCACGAAGAGATAGGGAACCTCAGAAGTGAGGTCCATAGCCCAGAAGACATTATGGGCACCGCTAGAGAGTGCCAGGCAAGAAGTCAGGTGTCTTAAGACAAAGGGTCCCTGACTCACGGATAGATGCATAACACACTGCGTTACCCACGAGAATGGACAACTGAGTGTTATAGCTGGTATGCACTCCCTAAGTGTGTTTATAGATGGAAATAAATGCCTGAGGGCTAAGGTATGGTTAAGCAAAGTACAGTGCTGCCCGTGGATGATATATCACAAAGCAGTTGAAAATGACATATTTGAAAATAATGCAGAATAAAAATTTTCCTGCAATACAAATTAGATTAGAACAACTGTGTGACACTTGGAAATGAACTCAGAAATAAAATATAACTGGGTCATAATGAGAAGATTACGAATGAAGATTAAGAATGTTGTGATTTCAATGCCTTTGAGAAAATCAAATGGCTCATACATATGCAAAGATGTTTTACTTCACTCAGTTTAACAAGTGCAAATCACAGCAACACTGAAATATTTCTCATTCATCAGACGCAAAAATCCAGAGGTTTAATAATATACTCTGTTGGAGAGGCTGTAGAAAAACAGGCACTCACAGACACTGTTTGGGGGAGGGTAAACTGCACCACTACTGTGTCAGCAGAGTAAGGGGCTCCCCAAAGATGTCCAGATCCTCATTCCAGAACCTGTTAAGTTCTGTGGGAAAGGGGAAATTAATCAGCTGACCTTGGGATGGGGAGACTACCCAGATGAGCTCAGTGGAATCACAAGGGATCTTTAAAAGCAGAAACGGAGGTAGAGGAGTCAGAAAATGTGATGACGAAGCAGGGGTCAGAGCGATGTGGTTGCTGCTAGCTTTGTAGTAAGTTCTAACAGCAGCCATTGGAAAGAAATACATCTGCATGGAGAGTAATTTGGCAATATGCATCAAAATTACCTAGTAGCTCAGCCGGTAAAGAATCCACCTACAATGCAGGAGGACCCCGGTTCGATTCCTGGGTCCGGAAGATCCTCTGGAGAAGGGATAGGCTGCCCACTCCAGTATTCCTGGGCTTCCCTGGTGGCTCAGCTGGTAAAGAATCTGCCTGCAATGTGGGAGACCTGGTTCGATCCCTAGGTTGGGAGGATCCCCTGGAGAAAGGAACGGCTACCCACTCCAGTATTCTGGTCTGGAGAATTCCACAGACTGTATAGTCCATGAGGTCGCAAAGAGTCGGACAGGACTGAGTGACATTCACTTTCACCAAAATTACAAATGACCTCTGTTCCTTCCTTGGGAAACTTCTCCAAGAAACTAAGTGGGATCTAAGTAGATGGCTGACAGGAGTGAGACCTCAGAGTATACCCGAGTTTCTTCTTTTAAAAAAAATTTTATCTATTTATTTGGTCGCGTGGGGTCTTAGTTGCGGCACACAGGATCTTTAATTGTGGCATGTGGGAACTGGCTCCCTGACCAGGGATTGAACCCAGGCCTCCCGCATCGGGAGCGTGAAGTCTCAGTCACTGGACCACCAGGGAAGTCCCCCCAGAGTTTCTTTATACCAGAATTTCAAGTCTGGGTCATCCTATTTCCTGAATACATCTCCAACTCCTTTCTTTGCTCTCCCACAGCCATCTCTGCTCTGGTCCAGGCATCACTTCTTTCTGGGTTGCTGCAATCCCTTCCTAACCAGACTTTCTGATTCTAGCTCACTCCTCCAATCCATCCTCAAACTGCAGTAAACGTGACCTTTCCAAACATAAATCTCATTCTGTCACTTGCTCTGCCTAGGACACGCCTGTTACTCCCCAGGACCCTGACCAGCCGGCATCCGCCTCTTTCTCTCCAGAGGGGACTCATCTCCCACTACTCCCAACCCCTTCCAGACACAACATCGTTCTAGCAGTCCTACGAATGCATATTTCACTTTGGCTTCCAAACCTTTTTGCACCTATCACCCATCTTTCACTCCCTCTATCCAGGTCAACTCTTAGGTATCCTTAGGTCTCGACAATATATACCTCATCCTTACCAGAAACCTTTCCTCACTTCCTGAAACTGAGTCGGGTCTCCAAGAGCTCCCTAGTTCATCCCAGCCTACTTCATCCTAGCCTCATCACCCAGCCTTAGATCCTCCCCTTAAATCTGTTCCTTTGCCTGGCCCGCCCACTGCCATATGCTCTGCTTCCGTGGGGACTTTATCTGGGTACCGCAGCATCCCCAACACCAAACCAGAGTGGATAGGTAGGTTCTGTGGGAAACCCTTGCTGCAATGAACATCACTAAGGTTCTAAGTCTCTAAGATTCTATTTGCTGTCTCCAGATTCTGTGTTTGAAAGGCCGATGCTTTTAGGATTCTGATTTTACGTTATTAAAAAGCGCGTCCACTTCTAGTTCGCATGCCTAGGTGCTCAAAGTTTACGATTTCAACTCTCTCGAACCAGTACTTCACTCTTAACCTCCCGGAGCGTCTGCGGCGGACCTGAGCCCACCCGCGCCCAGGGGGTCACTAGACACCACCCAGGCTCCCCGGCACCCCCGACCCCCTCACCTGGCCGCCTGCATGAGCGCGCTCCAGCCGTAGTGGTTGCGGCTGTTGACCGAGGCGCCGCGTCGCAGCAGGAAGCGCACCAGCGGCTCGTGGCCCCCGGCCGCCGCGAACTGCAGCGCCGTGTTGCCCGCCTCGTCCGAGCAGTCCACGGGCACTGGTGCTCCGGCCGCCGCCCCGGGCCCGGCCGCCTCGGGCCCCGCCGGCTCCGCGCCCGCCTCGGGCTCCGCGCCGCGCTCCGCGGGTTCCGCAGCCCCCGGCTCCAGCAGCCGCCGCGCAGTCTCCGTGTCGCCCTGATCGCAGGCGCGCAGCAGCAGCTGGAAGGCCGGGGGCAGCCCGCCCTCGCCCATCGCGGCCCGCAGCCGGGGTCTGAGAGCTGGGCCCGCCGCGCCAGCTCCGCCCCCGGATACCGCACGCCGGCGCCCACTTCCGCCGGCTCGCGCGCCTACTGTGTGCCGGCCGTGTGCGGGGGGCCGGGGCGCGCGCCTACTGTGTGCCCGGCGCGCGCCCGGGGCGGGAGCGCGCCTCAGTCGCCCGCACCGGGGGCGGGGAAGCGGGCGGGGGTGGACCGCGGGTTCCGGGAAGCTCCAGGCGGCGTCCGCCGCCGAGCTCGCGAGGGCGAGTTTGAGTTTTCGGCGCCCGCTTGGGGTCCTCCTCGCCGCTCCAGAGACTTCCTGCCCCGTAAGGAGGTCGCAGAGCCCTCTCCAGCGCTCCTCAGGCTGCGAGCTCCCGACCACTCCCCGGGGTCTGAGCCCACAGCCTCACAGGCCTGTGGCACGCGCCGCCGACCCCAGCGCCCGGCACTAACCCGGCGCCTGCTCCGTGGTCGTTGGCTGGGTTGAGGTGCGGTTGGGCCCACTCTGTCTTCCCACAGTGGCCTGCCCGGCCGTCAGTGCCGTTCTTGTCTGGGACGGGCGTTGGAGCTACAAGCACCTCCTGCAGCTTCATGCCTCCTCATCAGTGGTCTCTGAAGCACCACCATCGCGACGTGTTACAAATGCAACTCTTCTCATCTCACCCAGACCTACTGAATCGGAAACCGAACACGGAGTCCAGTCACTTGTATCTTAAGCCCTCTAGGCGATTCTGAAGCAGGTTAAAGTTTGAGACCCACTGTTAGATCCTTAACAACAGTCCTGTCAGCCACGGGGAAGGGCCCAGACTATCACGTCCAATTTACAGCGGTACCTAAGGCTGATGTGAACAGCCCACTCATTGGAAAAGACCCGGATGCTGGGAAAGGGAAAAGACCCGGATGCTGGGAAAGCTTGAAGGCAGAAGGAAAGAGGACGACAGAGGGTGAGATGGTTGGATGGCGTCAAGGACGCAATGGACATGCACTTGGGCAAACTCCGGGAGATGGTGAGGGACAGGGAGGACTGGCCTGGTACAGTCCCTGGGGGTCACAAAGAGTTGGACACGACTTAGCAACTACAACTAAGGCTCAAAGACGTCACGTCTTGCTAAAGGCCACACAACTGTCGTGTGGGAGGGCTGTGACTAGGACCCAGGTCTTCTGACATCTAGTCCAGTTCTTTTTCTGTCTCAACAAGTATTTATTGAATGCCGACTATGTGCCAGGCACTGTTTTAGGCGCTGGAGAACCTGCAGGGAAAGGAAAATAAAATCCCCTGCCATCCTGGGCCTGACAGTGGAAAAAGACAGGCACAAGCAAGTAAGTAACTTGTATGTCAGATTCTGATGTGTTTTTAAACAAGAAACAGAACATAACAAAATCGAAGCAAATGGGCTAAAGGATGGGATGTCGTTTTATAATAGGTTGGGTAGAGGAGAATCACTGAGAAGGTGACGTTTTCACAGAGACCTGAAGGAATTGAGCAATCAAGTGACGCGGACATTTGGAGAGAGTGCAATCCAGGCAGATGGAAAGACAAAGACTCTAATAAGAACAGCCCGGCCAGCAAATTGCTTTACGGTACCTTCTTATTCATCGCGATAACAAAGGTTAACATTCTGATCGGGGGTAATTGGTTTCGTGTATGTAGAATTATAACACAGAACAAAACTGGATGAGGGTGTGAGGAAGGAATAAGGGTCATGGCTTTCGCAGATCAAAAGAAGGTGGTAATGTCCTTAGGGTCTGGGCCGGCAGGCTGGAAGAGAAAGTCTTTTAGGTGAAGAGTAAAATGCGGGCAAGTCTTGAAAGTACACAGGGCTCAAATTGCGAAATGCTTCAGTATCAGGGATTTATTCTGTGCGTAATGGATAATCATGGAACATGTTTGAGCAGGTGAGTTAATGGGGACAGAGCCAATCACTGGCAGTGTTGGAGGTGGTACAGTGATATCTCAGTGATAACGCGGGTTCGGTGCCAAGCCATTGCAAAGAGGAGGGTCATGTGACTTTTGGTTTCCCAGTGCTTATCAAAGTTGTGTTTACACTGTACTGTAGTGAGTGTGCCATAGTCTGAAAACACATTGTAAATACCTTAATTTAAAAATACTTTATGCCAAAAGTGCTAAGCATCATCTAAGCCCGGTGAGTTGTAATCTTTTTGCAATAGTTAACATCAAAAATCACTGATCACAGATCACCAAAATGGATGAAATCATAATGAAAAAGTTGGAAATACTGCAGGAATTACCAAAATGTGATAGCAATACAAAGTAGGCAAATGCTGGTGGAAACGTGGTGCTCATAGATTTGTTCCATGCCGGGTTGCCACAAACCTTCACTCTATAAAAGATGCCACATCTGGGAAGCATGATAAAGGAAAGCACAATAAAACAAGGTGTGAGTGTACACAGTCACTCATTTCCAGATTTGGCCTCATTCACCAATAGAGATGAGAACAACTTCCTACTCAATGTCTAATGAAGACTTGGTTCCTTGAAAATCCTGAGCAACTGCTTCCTTGTATTATTCTATTTATTAAGGTGTCTTTTCTTATACTTTACTAACTAGTTATTTCATCATAAAATTAAGATACGTGGTACAAAAAAGAAAATTCCAACAGTACAAAAGGGCATAAAGCGAAAGCAAAAGCTCCTTTCCCTTTTCCACTTTCCCGGTCCTACTTCCCATAGGTAACCAATATTCACATTTATTTTATCTTTATAAAAATATTTCATATGTATTCAAACATGCACACCTACTTACAGGCATTAATCAAGCTTCTTGATTGCAAGTAGCAGAAATTAACTCTCTGGATAATTTAAGAAGAAAGGGGATTTAATATGAGGTTTTGTTCATAGCTCACAGATCCCACAAGGCCAGAGAACCAGCCCGAAGGCTCCACAACCAAGAACAATGCCCCGAATCATGCCAAGCTGCACCTTACACCAGGATGGAGTCTGCACAGGCCCTTTTTGGTGTCACTGGCTTCAGAGTCCGAGCCAGAGATGGGAGCATCTATCTGAGTGGCCTGGCCAGCTAGTGTGTTTTGCCTTGCAGAAAGGGAGCTGGGAAAGTGCATTTTTAGCATTTTCAATATGCATAATGGGGGGTAGGCTCCACTGTGGTGCCCCAGAAGGTAGGGTACCTGGATAGGAAAGGGTTTTGATGCTGAACAGCCAAAGGATAACAAAGGTCTACTACAAATATTCCCTCTAGGGTGGATCTCTGTTGCTTATACCTGTCTTGCCTCTCCTACTCGGGAAAGAGACACTCTGTTTTCTGGGGGAGCCTCCTTCCCCCACTCTCAGGCTGAGTGGTTCAGTGATTAGTGTATGTCCAAGCCCATTCCAATGCCTTCAGCCCAGGATTTCTTGTTAAAGCAGATGGGAAGAAGACCCTCTCTGCTGAGGTCCTCAGCTGTCATAAATAGGCTGGGGCTTGCTCTGTCCCCACTTAAAGATGGCCTGCCTGAGAGTGAAGCCACTATACAGAAAAGCAGAGACAAGTGATGGAGAAAGATGGAGTCAGAACCGCTACCCATCTCCCAGTGCTTTTCAGTTAGGTTTGTCTTGAGCAGGGTGGTTGTTACGTGCAATCCAAGCCTTAACAAATGCATTTTTTAAAAAAGTTTTGAAAGCACTGGGTTGCTACTATGCATGCTATTTTGAACCTCCCCCCCCCACCCTTTTTTTCATTGAACAAGTGGCTTAGGCATCTTTCCATGTAGGTGAATGTAGATCTATTGCATCCTTTTCAATGATTGCATATAACACCATTAAGCAGATGTACCATAATTTATTTAATCATTTTTTAATGATGCACAATTAGGTTGTTTCCAGTTTTCTGCTGTTATTAAAAAAAAATCTGCATTGAATGGCACTTGTAGCAGTCAGGGTCCCAGCAGGTGACAGATGGTACATTTGGCTGGGGGAATGAGGACCATTTACTAACGGACTAATTACAGATACGTGGGCAGATACTAAGCCACAAGGGATGATGCAGTGCTCAGAGGCTGATGACAGTAGGGAGCCATTACCAATCCAGGCCTAAAGGGGAAGGGAGAGCAGTTACCGGAGTTCTACGAGAGAGAAAACGAGAAATGTACCTGACGGGAGTTGTGGTCTCTAACAGAGGGGTGCAGCCAGCCTATGGCAACCCAGCAGAAGCAACGCCCAGAAGAATAAAAACCTCTGGCCTCATCCTCCTCCTGCCCCCGATCTCTTGCCAGTGATTCTCATTGGCCAAACCTGTTAGCCAGAGGTTCAGAGCCTACTGACGTCAACCCCTCCCAGGGAGGAGAGACTGAGGGAGCAAATAAAGAATCCAGTCCCTTGCTGCTCAAACTGGTCCCTGGACCAACAGCATCAGTACCTCCTAGGAGCTTCTTAGAAATACAGCATCTTGGGTCCACCAGACACCTATTGAACCAGAATCCATTTCAACACCATTCCCAGGTGATTTGTCTGCACAAAGATTTTGAAGAATGGATCCAGCACATCTTGGTACATAAATCTCTTCTGCAAGTGTATCTACAGTCTTATTATTTATGAACTCTCTTCTAGGATTTTTTCACTGATCCCTATTTTGATCTGGGTCCTCTGAGAATCAAATGCCATGATGGTTTTTGCCTGGGAGAAATGCTTGTATAGGATAAAGGTGGAAGGAATCGGGAAAGAGAAGGAGCACCTTCAGACCAAGATGCAGGTGTAAGTGGGAAAAGGGAGCAGGAGGGAAGGAGGCTTGGGTAGAAAGAGCTTCAGATTGCCCTGCGGTTTGGGGGATGACCCAGCCAGGCTGATAGGGAGTGCCTAGGCCAAGGGAGTCTGCTAGGGCTTCCTGCATCGGACAGAAACGGCTGGCTTCTGGTATCGCCACCATGGCAGAAACCAGAGGAAGTGTAGCCTCAGGAAGAACATCACAGCTAGAGGTTCTCCATCCGTTGTTCTCCCTGAAGCAGATTCTCTTGAAGGGCCAGCTGAGTGGTGCACCTCCA